AGTTAGGCAAAAGGCAAAAGAGAATGAAAGGAGAAAAATCCTCTTCATTTTGCTCAGGTTGGTGAAAAGCATGGCACCCCTTGAGTCATACCTCTGCAAACAGTCCTGCTGGGTCTAGAACAACTTTGCACCTTTAAAAGAGATTTAAGATGGATATTTATTTGGTTACTTGGTACAGTTAAACACAGTCTTTCAGTAAAACTCAATCCTGCCAAGGAATAAACAACTATTTACTACTTCTATTGCCTCCAAAGGATGTGAATGTGCCTAATGCACCAGTGGGGTGTTTTGGGTGCAAGTGTAGTCAGCAAAGCAATGACAGCAAGGCATAATGCAGTGAGGAATCCTTTTCTCCACTGCTAGGACATCTTCAGGGCACTCCTGGAAAACAAGAAAAAAAACTAAATGTATTAATAAGGCCAAAGACAATGCTGCTATTTTAACTCCACACATTCTTCAGATAGTACCTGTTGTAATTAACTCTCATTTTTTTTGTGTTACATGGATGACAAATAGGCAACCATTAGACTAGAGCTTGAGGAAAACATGATGATGCCATAGAGTCCTTTACATTAAAATAGATATGTTTGGTAATTTTACTCTCTCCTTTCTCTTTTTTTTTTTTCTTTTAAAATTTTCAGAATTGTAAAGAGACTAATATTAATCTTTGGAATGTATTTTAGTCATAATCTGAATAATTTATTTTTCATAAAACTTGCAGCATCTCTCTTTGATAAATACCTCTGGGCAGGTTTTGTTTTGCTCTCTCATTAATAAGTGATTATTTTCTTTATATTTAGCTGTCATGGAAACTGGACAAGGCAACAGTGAGTCTACCACTGTCACACAGAAAATGTTAAGAGAAGAAGATGGCTCTGGTGCTGATGTTTTGCCAGGAGTAAGCAGAGAGGAGGTCTGTATAATGGGTGGATCACATGCCTAATCTTTTAGTCCCAAGAACAGGAAAATATGGGCTTTGAAACATGCAGCATTTGTAAGGCAGTGTGTAACATGAATTCCGTGTGATTCTACAAATTAGAATTACATAGGTCACTGATTTGAAATCCTGTGAGCTACTGGAATACTTGCCTTGTTTGTTGGTATGCTTCAAAATAATCATCTGATGGTACATTTTTTAATTATTAACAGTCCTACTTCAACGGCCACCACAGATTTTTTAATAAGTAAAAAATAAATAATGACCTTTCCTTCCTCTTGCCTTGAGACTCCTACACCAAAAGTTCATTCTTTTTATTGCTTGAAACTACAGTAATTACAGGTTTTTTGCCAGTAAACACACAGTGAAATAAATGATGGAAATTCAGAATAAAATTTCCACATTATATGTGTTTAGTTCAAGTGTTTAAGGCTGCTTCTTGCAGGGTCTTCTTGTATTCCTGTGTTTACTATGGTAAAATATAGCAAGTGGTGAAATGTTAAGTTAGCATCCATTGGAGCTGACATACAAGAAGTTTTAGTATTTGTTGGAGAGCTTCCACATATAATTCCTTTAACATTTTCAAGCCTGCATGCATGTATTTTTAAGGCAGAAATTCTAATATTAGTTTATATAAATAAACAGATAAACCAGATATCAGATTAACTATTACCTTTTTTTTTTTTTCATTTTGGGCCATTTTTCTTAAATAAAAATTTGGTATTGTTTTAGAAATTGTGACACATTAAGCTTAAATCTGTTGTGACAAGTAGTTTTGCTGCTTACTGATCTTTAAAGTTTTCCTTAATTTTATTTCAATTTCTACATATTTTTTATTGCACAGACACCCAAGATTATTATATATTAAAATAATGACCAATCATTTAGAAAATAATAATTTTAAGGAGTTGTTACTGCCACTTTTCTCTCAGTTTTTGCTTGTACCCAGTGTTACTCCTGCCCAGGTGCAGAATCCAGCATTAGCTCTTATTTAGTTTCATGCTATTCATCACTGCTCAATGCTCCAGTCTATCCAGATCCCCCTGCAAGGCTTTTTGTCCCTCAGGAGTGCGAGCAGCACCTGCCAGTTTGAAATCATCAGCAAACTTGTTCATGGTGCATTCAATTTCTGCATCCAGATCACTGAGAGATCTATTGAACAGACCGGGCCTAGAATAGAGCCCTGGGGAACACCCCTGGTGACCAGTCACCAGCCAGATGTGGCCCTGTCCACTGCAACCCTTGAGCTCTGTCCTTCAACGTGATCTTCACCCAGTGCACCATGAACCCACTCATCCCACAGCTGGAAAAGTTGCCCCAAAGGATGCTGTGATGGACAGCATCAAAAACCCTACAAAAACCCAGGGAAATTTTGTCCACCTCCATCTCTTCATCCTTCATGTGGGTGACTTTGCCACAGAAAGCTAACAAATTAGTTAAACAGGACTTTTGCTTTGTGAACCCAAGCTGAGTGTTCTTGGTAAGTGCTGTGTTCTTTAAATGCTTTTCAGTGGTACTCAGCACAATCTTCTCCTTAATCCAGCCTGAGTTTAGGCTGATCTTCCCTTACACCCTTTTTGTAGACTGGAGTAACACTGATTATCTTCCAGTCAACAGGAACCGTCCCAGACTCTCAAGATCTTCAGCAGTGATTGAGAGGGGTCCTGCCATACCATCTGCTACCTTCTTCAGTACTCTAACTCTGAATCAAGAATCCTGTTATCTCATTCAGGCTATGATCTTTGCCCACTTTTTAACTAAATAGATTGTCTTCTAACACTTTTCCAGACAGGAAAAAATTCTGTAATTAGCCCATATTAAAAGAAATTTGCTGATCTTTGGGACCTTTGCTTTTGGCAAAACCCAGAACAGTCTTTTAAAAAATCATCTTACAGTTCCTTCGCTGAAAGCTGTCATCCTGTTAACTTGAAAATTCTTTGAGAGTTATTATATTTCATCCCTCCTAGTTTCATTACCTGCTAATGAGACTCAAAATATTTCATTGGTGTTTTAAAATGTGAGTAAATTCTAATGCTTCTTTCAAAATGCAATACTGACTTACGTGTTTTGTTCTGTTTACTGGTTTTTCATTTAAATATGTATTGATGTCCAAGCTTCATTCCTGGAAGGTTTATTTTGTTCCTGGAATATTTGAATTATTCCTTTTGTTATTATTACTTTCTCTTGACCAAATACTAATGTTTTGCAATATTTTAGTCTTTCTGTTGTCTCTTCTCATTTTTTGTTACCATTGTTTCATCTTCTGCTACTTTTTATCCAATATGTAACCCTCCTTTGTTAGAGTTGTGGATCTTGGGGAGTTGGCTAAAGCATTCCAAAACATGTCTATCTTAACTCTTGCAGTTTTTTCTCTGACAGACTGAGTATGTGAAAACTATATTTTTTCAAACCTATACTATTGACTTAGACTGTGCAGATGTATGTAGATATTAAATTAGATCATGGTCATTTGCATCTAGGTAACCAGCTCAGAGAGCAACTTATTTGTAGATGCATGAATGATTTTTAACATGGATTGCCTTGAACAAAGCAAGGATTATAGGAGAAAGGGAAGGGGATGGGGGCTAGAGAAACGGGGATAGTAATACAACACATTTTTAATATTTCACATTTTAATTGCTCAGGGCCAGAAAGGTCAGGAAGTAGAGGATGGGTCCACAGAGTCTCTAGGAGGGTCAGGAATAGATGTGGAAAATAAAGAACAAGGACCTTCTGAATCTCCAGGAAAACTTGGGCAACTTGGTCAGCCTGTGAGTATTTTCTCTCATTGAAAGAAAACGTGTTTTAGAAAGGGTAATAGTGATCCATCACACATGCATGGAGACCTTGAACTGTGCAGCCTTGCACACTGTCACCAGTGCAGGATTCTCCTGAGCTGCTGGGCTAAAACCCATCTAGTAGATGGGTTTTAGCCCAGCAGCTCAGGAGAATCCTGCCTGCACTGGCCAGGGGCAGGGGCCTGGTGACAACCATCAGAAAGCAAAGGCAAACAGCTGCTGTGCCAACATACAAATGTTCTCAGAGCAGCAATTCCACCAACTCCTTGGGCAGCACACTCCCAGCTGTCACATTTGAGTGTGTACAAAGGTGCAGAACTCAGAGGCCTCCTTCAGTGGCTTCTCTATATCCCGGATATTTCACACTGATTCTTGTGATCCTCGTGAACCATCAGCACAAGATGCATCAGATTAAAGAGAGGTGCAAAATATCCCACTGTGTTTGATATAGTTCTAATCCATCATTTTGTCACTGCATGGTGCATCTCAATTTAATTAATTGCTTTTATCTTTTGTTACTTCTATGATACATTGTTTTATTTATCTTTCTAACAAAGATGTTCTATTTTAGGGCATTCCTGGTAAAAATGGGCTACCTGTAAGTACTTTTTTTATGCATATTTTGGTTAACTGAATTAATAAAACCACATTTTTTTATGAGGCTCTATTACACTGAGGCTCAAGCAGCAAAGTGTTTTCTTCATCTTCTCCCTTTAGAAGATAGTCCTGGTGTCATAGTTGACATCCTCAGGTTGTCAAGAGAGCAAAAATCCAAGTTTCTAAGAGAAATGTATGATTTCCCAGTTGCAAAGAAAGTAAGGCATGACATGGCATAAGCAGCTGTACCAGGAATTCAGCTCTGGTGAGGCTGGCTTTTTTTGCAGAGAGGAATTTCAAAAGGGGACATACTCACACCCTTTCTAGAGGGGGGCTTCATTGACCCTCCATAGACATATGCTTCCATGTTGCCTGCTCCTAATCTCAGCTGCAATTAACTTTGTGGTTAATTGAGAGTACTTTTAAGTTAGTTGAGATGTACCTCTCCCCCCATTACTCTGGTGCAGTAATTTGACTGTATCTTCTGCTTCATCATTCCTGCTTTCCTTTCTCTGAGTTCCTCTACTTTACCCTTCTCTGTCATATCTGCTGTCCTCTTCCTGGGGTTTTTCTTTCCCAGCTTCTCCAGATAACTCCCACCCCTGGGTCGGTCCACCACAAGCTGCTGATAACCTGCACATGCATCCTCGCTGTGAGGTATTGCCCAGCAAAGCACACAAAAACAAACCCATGGCTGTCATATTCCCTGCACATCTCAGCTGCTGTTCTGTATCTGTCCTCTACTGATGTTCTGCTGCCTGGCTTCTTTGTTTCCTTTCTCATTTGTTTGTTGCTGCCACTTTGTGCATCTTTCCCCTCTCTAGGACCTTACCACCCAGAGGCTGTCACCATTCCCATGCCTGCTCCTCTTTTTCTATTCTAACATGTGCCATTGCTGGGAGCTTCCTGATCCTTCCTGCCCCTGCTCCCTTGAAACTGGTGTGTTTTAAGATATTAAAAAAATAACTCAGTGGTCGTTCATGGGGTGCATTATTGAGCTCCTTCCTGAATGCTGCTTTCAGACACTGGTATGCTTAAGGAAATGTAGCTAGGTTTGCAAATATTTAGCCAAAACTCAGGTTATGTGCCATTAGGGTGTTTTTGGACAAGAAGTTTATGTTTTATGTATTAACAGAAGTCTAACTACTTTCATACAGCATATCTTCAAAGAAAATTTTAAGAAACTAATACATCTTAAAGAAAATTCTTCAAATGTAATTCAAATGCTTTAAAACAAATTGTCTTACTCTTGTGAACACAATCTGAATTTCTATCCCAGACATTTTGTGACGGTGTCTTACATTTTTTGTAGTTTCTTTTTTGTCTATGTGCATCTGGTTTCCAATCTTACGTATACCTGTGCAATTTTACTTTTGGTTTGATGGGGCTTTGCTCAGCAATTAAATTACTGCATTCTACATTTATACTGGTAATGTGTTTGTTATTTTTCTATGAAACTGCTAGCAGTTACTCTACAGGAAAAATCATCATAGGAAAAAAAATTCTTCAGTCTTAGAGATACATTTTTCTCCCTAATAACTTTATATAAACTATCTTTAGGGCAGTCCTAAAACTTGTCTAGTAGAGTCCATAAACACAGCTGTTCAGATTCTGAAAATGCAAGTGGGAAAACACTATTTATTTGCCTTCTGAATATTTTCTTGAGTGTCCTAACTGAATTCAAAAGCAGCCCTATTTTATAATAGCACTAACTTTAAAGCTGATAGGAATTCTTTCTAGCCAATTAATGAGCCTCTATAGGAAGAGCATATGCATATTCTGTGTAGGTGATATGAAGATGCAAAGAAGGGTAATTTGGAATTCATTTGACTGGTGAAGTTCAGAATGGAAAATGAGGTGGAATGCTATCTAGTATACCACATTGCCAGTCAGAGGCATATCTTCAGGAAGGATACTAGTTTGTAGAAGTTGAATAGAGTCAAGTTGGTTCAGAAAAAAAAGTTTTAGTAGATGATGGGAGCAGGCTTAAGTTAATGGTATGATTTTGTGCACTCAGAACAGCAGCTGGCAGTAGTGTGTTACAAATATTTTAAAAATCCTTGCTATCAGTGCTGTGGCAATCCTGTTGGCACTCTGTCAAATCTAAATGCAGCCTGCAGGTGTTTCCATCTGTATCCTCCAAACAGGCTTCTCTTCTCTGTGGGAAGAGTAGATGTGGTGAGAGGCACATTTTTGGGCGCTGCCAGGGACATCTTATGCCAAGTCTTATATTTCCACCTGTCACACTACAACATGAAATAACTCACACATGGATGCTAGATATAAAAGAGGAAAGAAAAGAACCCAAAAAGAGGATTTTATTTTCTGACTCCACTATATATAGAATAGCAAAAGTGACAGTGGATTGGAGGGTGAAATTGCCACCTCTTCACTGGTCAAACCAACAGTCCATCAGTTCTCTCCCCCCCACAAAGAAGAATGCAAAACAATCATTATTTACATAATCAGTGTGAGAAAATTCAGTATAAATATGTAAACATCAGAAAGCATAGAAAACTTTTAGAAGAACTTTAAAACTCTCAAAAGAAAAGGGCAACATCCTCCCACTGTACAAACCAAGAGTTAGAAAGAATCTAGCACCATTATATCCAGCCTCTGCTGCTAAGTGTTCAACTTACATGAAAGAAAATGTCTAATTAAAAAAAATATTTCCTTTTAGGGTAAAAATGGACTTCAGGGGTTGCCAGGACTGAAAGGAAAAGCAGGCCCTAAAGGTGAAAAGGTATGTGTTCTTTCACCAATCAATCAGATACAATTTATTCTTAGACATGTATTGATTTGGTACACTCTGAGAGAGACACAAAGTATGGAATCACAGGAAGAATTTAAATATCCTACTGTTCATTCATGAGTGGCTGGATGGCACCATACCAGAATCATAAGTATGTTTCAAGGTTGTGAATAAACTTCAGCAGTAGAAAAAGTTGGGCTTTCACAGAAGAGCTAAGGAAGATGTATTGAACACTTAATAAAGAAAAGTCAATTGTTGTATATAACTGCTCTGGGCAACATACTCTACTGGCTAAGTGATTTAACAGAGGCAGTATAATCATATTACCCTTAGGAAATGAACATAATTGAAATAAGAGTTAAACCATCTGAAGTAACAGCTTGTATCTCTTCTGAGATGAGGTGAGATGTAATGGATTAATCTGTTATTAAAGTACATGTTGTACACAAAATTGACATATAGATAGTAAATCCAAGTGTCAAATTAATAATCTGTTAATTTCATCTGTTTAACAAAACAATACAGACTTCATAAATTCACAAACATGACCCATATAAATCTCATCTATTCAGATTAGTTTGAAATAGTACAAAATAATTTCTTGCAAATCTGCTTTGGTCCTTCTTGCAACCAGAGTTATTTCTAGATACTTGATACTGACATAAATAATGTGTAGGAAACCATAAAATCAGTCAGGGTTCTTTTAATGAAAACAAATCAAATTGAAAAGATGCCAAAATTATGGCTATTCAGATTTCTTCTATTTATAAGCAAAGTGCAAATCAGGAAATGCATTTTATTTTGCAGCTGCTACAGCCACAGCTCCTGTTAGGTGACCATTCCAATCTTCAGCAACAAGTGCTACACCTACAGTGCCGAAGGGAACAGGCCCAGAAACTGATTTGCTGCTGGTTCAGACTTGCAGGCGTGACAATGCTTTGGCCTGTAGCAAACAGATCTCGCTCAGGCATTGCAATTTTACTTTTGTTGTTAATTGCTCCCAGTATGCTGCAAAATGAGATTGAGCATAGTCTCTGTACTCCTCCAGTGCCATCCCAGTAAGCTTTTGGCTTTCAAATACTCATGCTGATGGATTTCAGTATATGTCTAAGGTTATTTCATGCAAAATTCACAAAAAACTGTACTCAAAATACTAGATTTGAACATGCAGGGCTAAAAGGAGTCCCAGAGTCGAGTACCTAAGCATTGTAGGCCCAGCCAGTCTGTTCCAGCTGACCTCACAACCAAAGGCCATCCAGCCTTAGTTTGTTCATCAGAATAGATATCAGAAGGAGAAAATTGTAGCAGCAGGAGAAGCAGCTTAGCTGCAGAGAGCAGAATTTATATTGGAAAGGAAAATACTCCAGTAGCCTATTTGTGATTACTTTTATGTCTACTTTAGCAAAGACATGTTAAACTTTGTTTTTCATTTAAAAATTGGACTAATATTTTCAAGGGACACTTCAAAGAGACACTGTGAAGTTAGAAAAAGAGAGCTAAAAATCCTAACAATACATTCAAGATCACTGAGGAAAGCTGACATCTTCATATGCGGAGTTTTGTCTTGTCAATACTTTAAACAGACAGTTGCTGCAATAAAAACAGTTCAACGAAGAAAACACCGCTCTGATCCTCTTTCATACATGTGAATTATTTTTAAGTAATCAGCTGTTCAGCAAATTGTTTCAATATTCTAATCAGTATTATTTCCTAGGCCTGGCTGTGTTGGTAGGGTGACCAAAGCTTATAGAACACACAAAACTTCATAACTGTTATACTGTCTAAAGATAGTCAGCACCTTTTACAGTATAAAAATATCTAAATTTCAGGAACAGTAGTAGGATCCACCATCCTCTTTCTGGTTCTTCTAACTGAAAACAGAAAGCCAGGAATGAATGGGGCACTACCTATCAGTGGAGAGTGGGGAGCTGCTGTCACTTTTCCAGCATGGTCCATGCTCTGTGCAGAGGTAGAGCCATGAGATGCTCCTTGGGAATGGATACAGTCAGGCTTCCTAAAAATGGCCATGACCCAAATGTGATATCTGGGGGTTTTGTCTTCCTTGAAGTGCACACAAAGTGGAAGAAATTGCATGAAAGCAAGCACCAAACAAGCACTGCCAGGAACTAATGGAATAGTCACTGGAAAAAAGCGAGGATGTGTTAAAATTAATGAAGAGTATCTGTAACTGAACATGCTGGCAGACAGTGAAAATAGCCCCAAAGTAATTAAACACATTCTCTGTGGATATGAGTGAAGTGTCACTATAGGAACCATTTCACAAAGCCTCAGGGAACAAAGAACTGAATGAATACATTTATCTAATGAACTCTCAAGCATAAAGAGCAAGTATCCAAAAGACAGTTAAAAGTCAGTGTTTCCTACTGTGTAACAAAATATGTGCATTTATAGAACAGAATTTAAATGCTCATAAGCCCAGATAGCAAATTGGCAGGTTAGAGGGTAAAGCACAGATCAGTGGAGGCAAAACCTCGACTCTTGGCTTGAGTGAAAAATACTGGTCTTGAGCAGGAAAATTATTAAAAGTCACAAACATCTTAAGCTGAAACAGTTCAAACTAACCTCAGCAAAATGTCAGAGGTGATGTAAGAAGGACGAATTTTAAGAAATGATGAGAGAAAATGACACATATTTGAACATCATCTTTCACTGTGTTGGCAGTAGATAAAGGTCAACACACAGAAGAAAAATCATGTTATGGTACTATTGAAAAAATCAGTAGAGAGTTTAGCAATAAAGTCAAGAATTTACAGATTGAATACCATTGTGTGACCACACTGACAACATTTTTTTCTGGATTGGTTTGTGGTTTGGGTTTTTTTTGGGTGGGATTAGGGTTCATGTATAAGATGCCCTAAAAATGCAAGATCCACAGTTAAACCTTATTCTGGCAAGACATATGCACTGCCTAATGCTATTAATGCTGCTTGTACATTTTCAAATTCATTACAGAAGTTAGAAAAGAAAGAGTTCTTTCTTCCATTGCCAATGCAAAGATCATGTTCTTTGGGAGTTTATCTTAGAAATGAATGAAGTCCAACCCTGCTCATAGCATCTAAGTAGCCACTCTTGTGACTGGAATTCCACAGAGATTGTAGCTAGTGCTTATAGTCTTTATATGGTTAAATCCTTGCTGATTTATCTTAATTCCCATTTCAGGGTGATCCTGGCGAGGGATTGCCAGGACCCCCTGGACTACCAGGACCCACAGGACCATCTGCTCCTTCCAGAGGATTAGTGAGTATTTGGGGCTCTCTGTCAATGAGCACAGCTTGCCACAGAGGAATCCAGAACTAAATAGGAGGTTTTCTCTGGGAAAGTAGCTTGATTGTGACAGAGATAAACATGTTTTCTAGAACATTCATGCAGAAATGCAAATAAATGTCTTACTGAAGTGTGTGAATACTGTAAGCTACATAAACTCCCAGTATTCACATTTTAAAATGTTGTTGGATGTGTGTGCTCTCTTGTGCAAAAGCAACAATATATGTGAGAACACAAAACAAAAATATCCACAAAAAGGCAGTCTAAACTTAAATTATTCATTTCTTCCTGCTACTGAACAGAGAAGCGGTTTGACAGTCAGTAATGTTTTCTGTCATTAAATACTAGAACACGTACCAACATGATGACAGTTTGTATTTTGAATGCTCAGTACTCAGACAATGTAAAAGAATGAACTTCGGCTCCATCTCACTGCTGTACTTGGACTTTTCTCAATATAACCATGAGGATACATGTGCATGCAGATAAAGAAGGAATCTGGCCTGAATTTTGGGTTCATGGTGTGACAGCTGATTTTATGCTTAGACACAGTCCATCACTGCCACCAGTGGAAATCCTGAGATGGACTTTTACACAAAACTATCTGTCATACTGCGTATCGCAAGTGTTTAACAAGAGAGTTTGAAACGTATTTTACTGGCCAAAATAGATTTTATGCTCCCCTGATTCTGGGTCTGCTAAATTAAGACAATATATTTCTGCAGCATAAAAAGAGATTAACAGTGATTCTTCTGCACTACTGAGCCTGCACTGATGCTGACTTCAAGAGACCAGCAGGGCAGCTCCAAATCCCTAGGAAAAGGTGCTCCAGGCCAACAGTTTTACCCAGTCAAAGGCCACTTCTATAAATGTAGCAGGGAACACCAAGTGCTACATTGCCTTTACTTTCTTGTTCTCTGTGACAGCAAGTTTCAAGGCTTTTTATTCTGTAGTGAGGTGGAAGAAGTCTCAGTGCAGCCAAGGAATGCATCCTCAACACCAAGGCATTTGAAACTTTACCTTTGGTACTATGATAACTTATTCAGGTAGTACTTCTCAGACTACTTCTTTGTAGTCTGCAAAATATACACAGCTATGAAACTCACCAAGAACTAAACACTAAGGTATTATTTCAACAGAAGGTTTTGGAAAAGGCTTCAGTATATTGATTTCTCTTTGTAAAAGTCATCTTTTTGATTCCAGTTGCAGGAATCTCAGAATTAGGCTTTTTAAAGGAGGCATACATTGTAGGAAAATGGAGTTATTGGTAAGATCTGCATTTTAGGATATTCTTAATGGTGACAGGTACCTCTCTGAAGTTAAAATGTGTCTGAGATATTACTTTAGTTCAGTTAAACTGTCACATGGCATGTGTGTCCTGCAGGACAGTTATCACTGTGCTCATAGAGCACCTGCAGGTAAAGACAGTGCTCAGTGACTACGAAAGAAGATGGTATGAAACACCAGAAAGATAAGTGAAATGTTTTTGTTGTATTATAATTTATTTTATGAGTGACAGACTGCTGTAAGTATATTGATGATAGATGTATTTCCAGTAAATGCCACGTGATATTTGGACTTGTCATCTTCAGAAGCAATAATTTAAAATGGAATTCTCCTCATTTCAGAATAGACTAGAACCTGAAGAATTGGGTTCTGGAGATTCTGATAGAGAGACAGAGATTTTAAGGGTAAGCAAATACTGACATTTCTCATGATAAAGAGCTTTATTTTACTCATGCAGGTTGTAGAATTTTTCATAATGCAAGTTTTATACATGCTAAATTTACAGCATCCAGAAAGTGTTTGTAGGGTTTCATTTCAAGGTCAGAAAAGGCCTAAATGCCTGTGAGTGGGGAAGAAGTACAAGACAAGAGGTGGCCACCAAAGAAATAATGCAAGAAATAACAGCAAATGCTTTCAATCTGACTATGAGAAAACATCAAAGAGGAGAGAGATGGGAATCATATATTCATGGAATCATAGAAAGACCAAAATGTCATTTTGTTCCAGCCCCCCTGCCATGGGCAGGGAAACCTTCCACTAGATTAGGTTGCTCAGAGCCCCATCTAACCTGACCTTGAACATTTCCAGGGATGAAGTATCCAACAGCTTCTCTGGGCAGCCTGTTCCAGTGCCTCACTACCCTCACAGTAAAGAATTTCTTCCTAGTATCGAATTTAAACCCACCCTCTGACAGATTGAAGCCACTACCCCTTATCCTGTTACTACAGACCCTTGTAAGCAGCCCCTCTCCTGCTCTCTTGTAAGCCCCTTTTAGTCAGTGGAAGGTGTTATATGACCCTAGTCTTTACTTTTTTCAATTTGGAGTATCTGTGCTAGAAAAATAAGTGTGTCTGTATGAAATGTCTTATGGTGCAGCTTTCTGGTGAACTGAACATCAGTAACACAGCACCTTTCTGAGTTTATTATGGTTCCTATGAACTCCAGAGTGCTATAGCACACTGGAGGGCTCTTCTGTACAACACAACTAGTGATATATTTTCATTCTCTCAGACTGTTTTCTGACTCAGGACTCCTCTTCTGTTTTTTTCTTTTTACTCAAAAGTGCTTAATACCTTATTCCCAAGGCCTTTCAGGAGTCAATTGCCATATGCTGAAAGTTAGCTATCTTGCCTAATTTAGGAGCCTCTTCAGATGCCCTTTGTAGGTAACAAGATAGGTGAGTTCCCTGCAGAAGACTATTTACTGCACTAAAACTCCAAGATGACCCTCTTCCAGATAGAATCCTGTTCATGGCCCTAAGTCAGAATTAAATATTTCCTGACTTATAGTACCATGGCCCAAAAATTCAAGCTCTCAGTCCCTGTCTGATAATGCAACCCGTAACACGGGTGGACTTGGACATGAGAAAGAATATTTGCAAATGTACTGTTCCTCCTAAAATAACATTTCACTAATTTCATTCCATTAATTCAATTTAAATACCTCTGCTCATGTTCATGCAGGATCTTTAGTGCAGAGGCCAGTTTTACAGCATTAAGCAGGTCTTGATCATGAGTAGAGATTCTCAGTGCTCCAGCAATAACATGGAGAAACCCTATGAAACAGCAGAGGAGAAAAAGCAACCACTTCCCTCTGTATAATGATGGTTTCTTTATGGTTAGGTCTTTTATCATTAGGTCGATCCTTGGGATATGTCTGAGATCTCTACTGCATTACAGAGAGCTGACACAATTTTTTTTTATTTTCAGTGTTTTTATTTCGATGCTATGAGGCAGCACAGTTCAGAGAGCATGGGTGAGGGAGGTCAGTGTGACCCTATGTAAGGGCATATCTGTGAAACTAAAATTGGTTCTCAGTGAAACAGAAGTGGGGTGGAAACACCAGCTGAGTTTTATGAGCCTGAACACTCTGTGTGAGCTTTTTCCTGTTCCATGTATATAGAAATTAACCAGGCTAGGAAAATTTCTAACACTCCTGCTGATTTATCCAGGGTCTTCCGGGGCCACCAGGCCCTCCAGGACTGCCTGGTCTTCCAGGAAACCCAGCACCTGATTCAGGTGTAGGACCTCCTGGGTCACCAGGAGAAGATGGAGCTTCAGGGGAGCAAGGCCCTGCAGTGAGTACCCTTTTGTGCACAAAGCTTGAATTTTACGCAAATTTATTAGGAAAAAAAAAAAGTCTTGTTAACCAAAACACAGCACTAATAAATAAAAATTAAGAATGCTTTTGCCAACACTGAATAAAACTAAGTATCAGTTTTCCTGGGAGCTTTCAGGAAAATGAAGTTTGCTAAATTACTTATATGAGTTTCAGGGAATTTGCAAAATAAACTGAATTTTCCTCTTTCCTCTTCCATCCTTTTCTTCAGCTAGGTAGATGCACTTATTCCTCTGGACATGTGAAATATAATTCTGCTGTAAAAAAGTTGCTGAAGTTTGACTTGCAAGTAAATTCTCAGTAAGGTGGTTTTTTCAGTGAAGAAAATAAATTTTTTAGCATTGAACAGCTCTGAGAATCCTCTCTGGAACTATGAGATTGGCTCAGTTGTTTGGAGCATGGTGCTAATGAAGCCAAGGTAGTGGGTCTGATCTCTGTGTGGTCCATTCATCTAAGAGCTGCACTCAATGATCCTTTCCAATTCAGAACAATTTCTGCTTCCATATATTTACTAATATGGTTCCCTTATGCCCTACCAACCATCTGCCAGCAGCATTGTTCTCAGGGCAAGATTTGTCCTGTACATCAGACGACCTCCAAGTGAGTCACCGTATCTGTACTTGACAGGTGTCTTTAGCATATATCAAGGAACTGTACAGGTGACAGGTGTTACAGAAGAGATCTCACTAGATCTCAGCTGTCTTGGAGGGAGGTTTATTTGAGGATAGCCAAGTTCAAAGTTGCTGTAAAATCTAAAAGGTGCTAGGCCATCCAGGTAGAATCAGCATCATTTGTGCAGAAAGAAATTAGGTACCTGAAAGTCTTAATATGGGATTCAAGAGTCAAGTGAATGGGAAGCCAAGGAAATCCATTATTCTCTGCATCTACTGATTGTTATATGGATGGCAGTATAAAATAAAAAAAGTCTGAAATGCTGTCCAGATTTCATCTAACTGCCAAACTCCCAACACTCTTTTTATTTTATGAATCCAAGACAGATCAAATTGTATTGAGGATTACAAATGTAATTTTAAGAAAATACATTGGCAAGTCTTATAAAAAAGACAGTCACCCTAATGTTTTATTTACTGTATTTGATAAGGTGCAGTGTTAGATTAAAAGGTTCTCTAGAACACCTTCTTTCAATTAAAAATGTACCTTCAACTTTCCTGACTGTGGCTGTTATTAAAGCTTTTGAATATAATGTAATTCAAATTGTCGAGGATACAGTACTAAAATTTGCCATAAAAGAATAATGTAAAAAGGAATTAAAATAAAATAGAGAAATAAGCATTGATTTATCTTATATTTTTAAAGATGAGTGTATTCCCTTTTGTGTAATTTGGGATTTCACAGGCAATAACATGAACTTGCAGGCAGTCAATTTTCTGATGCAACACAGATCGTTGTTTCAGGATAGTTCCTGGGAATAAAAAAAAGTAGAAGTTAGATGCTGATAAGACCACTAAAGAACATTTTCAGAAGATTCAATCCAGGACAAATCAGGCCAAAATGCAATATGAAAATGTTTGAAACATCCTGAAAATATTTCTGATTATTCTCAATATTAAAAAAAATCCATTAGTTACTCTATGACTTACAATGCATCCAAAGATCAAAACCAGTGGGGCCTGGGGAGTGGGGGAGGGAGAGAGCCAGAAAAATGAGGCTTTGTGATAATTCTGAAAACATCAGGGGAAAACAATATTTTCTATCTCCTTTGCTAGCCATTTATATACTTCCCCAAAACAGATGAATCAATAAATATTATTAAAGATCCACAGAGGCCAGAATACACCCCTGTAAATGCAGTCAAAGGCTTTCAGAGCCCAATTTTTAAAATGTAGGCTGTGAAATATGCCTGTTACCTTTCATGCATGTCTACTTACTATGGCCTGGACTTCAATATTTGTACAGATTTAATGGTTGACCTTACAAAGCCAGTATTTCCCAGCCTGCCTGCTCACTCAGATGCATGCAGGATATAAGTCATGGATACAACACCAGAAACTGGGTGGAGAACTTAATATATACTTTTCAAGGCAAAATTAAAGTGAGGTTCATGAACAATATGAGTGCCATCAATAAAAGCAAAATGGCAGAGCCTTTTTCTTCTGCAGAAGGACTCTTTAGGAGTGCTGCCCCTGAAAGCTTAGGAATGCACTTCCAGGCTCAGCTACCCAGAGGCTCCTGGCAAACTGAATCTGAATAAGCCAAGTACTGCCCCATATGGCAAGCTGAGGCCCAGTCTCATTGTTCCTGTGTGAGGATATCACTGGAGTTTTATGAATCAAGACCTCTGTCAACCTACAGGCTTTTCTATTTGCAGTGACAGCACAGAAGTCTCCTGTTTGACACCATTCTCTCCATATCACAACTGCTTTTAGTGATTTGACCACACAGAAACCCTGGCCACTGATTTTGTCAATACAAAATCAGGGTCTCATCTAGCACTGACATTGACAAAAGTGTGTATAACTGAAGTGTCTGAGGATTTCAACCCCATCATGTCTTTCACAATGTTGTCAAAACCTGCTTGGATAGCACCATAATCTCTCATGCTAAGGTTGTATTTACAATATGCTGGGTTTTCTTTTTGCTTATTATTTTATGATTGTTGTATATAGTTTTCTATTAAAATATATTAAAATACTGGTTTAATACAAAGCCAAACTCTCAGAAGACAAGAAATAGAAGTGTTAAAACTTAGTGGTAGGAGATGCTACACATTACTCTTTCATAATGCTGTAGCATTAGTTGGTCCCTAATACTTAACATGTTCTAGAAATCAAGCTCTCAAGTGGCACCTGCTTTAGATTTACTGTCATCTACAGGGCCCTCAAGGTCCTCCTGGCTGTGATGGAGTGGTTGGCCCTCCAGGATGGAAGGGAGAAAAGGTGAGTTAAATGTCTTGCTCCTACTTCAGTGGAAAATCTTTGTCAATTCTAGGCTGTAAAAATCATAAACTGTTGTTCCTGCAACACAATAGCATCTGGCTTCAGTATTTTTTAATGGAATCCAGATACTGATGGCTTATTAGAACACATCTCAAAAGGCATATTCAGAAATCCAGAATTTCCTATTGGCTATTGTCTCATTTTCTGAAGCATGCAATATTCAATACGCAGTATGAACTACTCTGTTGTGATTTTCCACTCAGAAAACAGTAGTCACTGGGCTCAGACAGGTGAGTCTGGAGGGGGAAAGAGAGAACTCCAGTTAGCCCAGCCTGGCACAGAGCGACAGCACATTATATGACGGGGAGAAGAGTCTGAAGGAGCAGAGACTGTTTGAATTGACAAACAAGAGACAAAGTCATGGCCTACACTGGCTGGACACCAGATGCCCACCAAAGAAAAGCTGATGGGTCAAGACAAGGTCAGAGAGATCACTCAGCAATTACTATCACACGCAAAACAGACTTGACTTGGGGAAATTAATATAATCCATTGCTAATCAAAACATCATTTGAGCACCATTTTTTTCTACCCCACTTCAAGAAGGATGTGAAGAAAACAGAGGCAAAGGCTAGAAGACAATTTCATCCTCTAGTGAGCTTCAACAACACACCTTACACACAAGAACTCGAAAGTAAATTCCCAAGTGTACATTTTAAGCTCACCCGCTGTAATAGAAATGAAAAGGCAAGTCTTAAATGGCCAGAATATTGATTTATTTTTATCTATGGAGGCTGGAGGTTCTGAGTTGTGATATCAAAAGCCTGAGGCTGATAAAAGTGCAGCACACATGGGAACCAGGAGCCATGCAGAAAGTGTGTTACAAAGCAGGCACCTGAAACCCGTGTCCATTGTAATCAGTGGTGAGTGTTTTAAGGGAGCCTAAGAACAGAAAGAAGTCTAGCTGAAGTAAACTGAACATTAATTACATACTATAGGAGGAGATTGATAGGGAAAGAGAAGCAATCTAAGATAAATTATTTTTTTTAATCATAATCTTCTAAAAAAGGGCTAAAATATTTTGCCTCACTGAATCTGTTTGCTGCATTCTGTATATTTGATAAAAATTCAGTTAGAATTGAAGCACTATGTATCTGCACCTGTTCAATACAAGTAAGAATATTTTTAAATTTTTACTAATTTTTTCTGAAATACTTGATTTAATTTATATTGCAGTATCTGTTTTGTTCTTTATTCCAAATTAATCCAGAGAAAATAACAAGAAAGAAACAACAGGATGCACTGGAAGTAAATTCAGTTTGTTCATCAAGTGACATTTGACATGGAGTTTAGCCACTGTTTTTAGAAAAAAAAACATGATCATATGTTTACTGGTGCTTACTCATTTTTTTCAGATTTTACTGAAGAAATATTTCTGCTGAGTGAGTAAGGACAGGAGCTTCCCAAGATAAAAATTATTCCACTAGATCCAGAGCAATTTTGAAAATAATTATTGGTGTGCATTATTATTGTCTTTCTGTCTATTCCATGAAATAGACATGGAAAAAAAAAAAAACAGTATGCAAGTAAAGTGTATAAAGAAAATATTGATAAAATCTTGATTGTAGCAGAGGAACAAAATCTTGATTGTAGCAGAGGAACCTTAAAATCTTCCTAGTCATCACATCCAGTGTTTGGAAGGGTGCCCTGGACAACTTGAGTAGGAGCAGTTTCCAGTTCTGTTGTAGCCAATAAGGATTTTGACATTTATGTTCAGAAGCATGAGGATGTGACCTACAATGTTTACTTTTCTGTCCTCCAAACCCTTAAAATCTACAGCAATAATTGAAATAAAATATTGAGTCCAGTCAGCATACCAGATCAGAGCTATTAATGTGTTATTGTAACGCCTGAATTGCAGATTGTTTTCTTTTTTAACTGAGAGTTTTGATGTTTCAGATGAAGGGCTTCATGTACAGGACATCAAATTAAACAATACAGAAATCTGTGGGTATTTGTAATAAGAAAACTACCATAAATATGCTTTTGTTACATAATGGTCTTATTCTAAGTATTTAGAACTTATTTTCTTTTACAGGGTGATCAAGGTCTGCCTGGTTCTGCTGGTCCAAAGGTAACAAAAAAGTGTTTTTATAGAATTACAGTAAGACTGTGATACAGCACATTACTGAAAAGGGCTGAGAAATCTTAGAGACTGTTATTGTGTAACCTGATGAAGTGAGCAAACCTGACTTTTCAGCTGGCCAGTATGCTTCCCTATGAAATGTTGTGTAGTCACGTAACCTTGGCTGGACACGGCTCTATCACTCTCTTTCCAAGTGGGACTGGGGAGAGAGAATAAGATGGAAAACAACTTGTAGGTTGAAATAAGGCAGTGTTTACTAAAGCAATAAGAAAATAAAAGTTTATATGCATATAAGAAAAGAGAAAAAAGTTTAATCTCTACTTCCCATCAGTGAGTAATGTTCAGCCACTTCCTGGGAAGCAGTTACTCTGGAAGGCAAATACTATAAAACAACAAATGCGCCCCATTCCTCCTCTCTCTCATAGCTTTTATATCTGAGCTGACATCATATGGTATGGAATACCCCTTTGGTTAATTTGGGTCAGCTATTTTTGCCTACTTGTGTCACCTTCCAGGGTACTGCCCATTCCCATCCCACTTGATGGGAGGAGGATATGAGAGAATTGTTAAAGAGGCAGCACTGATGGTGTGCCAGTGCTGCTTCAGGCAAAACACTGGTGTGTAGTCAACACCTTCTGGCTACCAATGCAAAGCACAGCACTGTGAGAGCTGCTCTGGGGGAAACAAACTCCACTTCAGCCAGAACCAATGCAGGTGAGAGAGGTGATATTTCCAACCAATAGGTTGAGAGAGGTGATATTTCCTCTCTACTCTGCCCTCATGAGAGCCTACCTGGAGAGCTGTGTCCACCTCTGGGACCTGTTGGAACAAGTCCAGGGGAGGGCCACGAACATGATCAGTGGATGACCGCTTCCTGGAAATGTTCAAGGCCAGGTTGGATGTGGTTTTGAGCTATCTGGTCTAGTGGAAGGTGTCTCTGCCCATGGCAGAGGAATTGAAACTTGCTGAGCTTTCCAACCCAAGCTATTCTGTGATCCTGTGAAACTACTTATTTGCCTTTACTTAGATATATTCAGTATATCAATAGTCCGAATTTTTATTTTAGGGTGATGCTGGAGTTACCGGATCAATAGGTCCTAAAGGAGAAGCTGGTCCTATTGGGTCTCCTGGAAAACCTGGACCACCTGGACCTCCTGGGCCTCCTGGACCTCCTGGACCACCAGGACTAAGTTACAGCTTGGGATTTGAGGTGTGTCACTATTCCAAAGTTTGTTTTAAGTATGGATATATTTCCTCCAGAGGAAAGACAGTGTGATCACCTGTATATTTCACAGGTATTTAAGTCTGAATTGATAAGAAAGTAATTTGTTCTAGACTGAAATTTGCCAAGGAGTGTAAATACAGAGATATATGTTGCTCATTTCTGACCACATGGTCTTTTCTACTTAGGACAAAAAAAGTTATATTGGAAATATAAATTTGCAGATGTTTTTTCTACTTCTGAGAATAATACCTTCATCACTTAAAAATATGAGATCAGACCAGCTCAAGATGAATTTTACATATAATTTGAGAACTGCTCATTTGGATAATGTTGGTGGAGAAGAAAGTGGTTTTGCAGTAAAGAAAGGCAAGGGAAGAATACCCAGGTTCAAGAACTAGAGCTGCTGCATTAACATATTTGTGAAGAGAGGACAAGAAATTGTCAATATCAATATTCCTATTTTACTTTTTTCTTCCTTTTTTTCCATGTATTTTCCAATTCTAATTTAGCTGTGTGGCTCAACAAAGTCTTTCTACAGTTTTTTATGTCATAGGATATAATAGAGTTTGCACAGTAACTCAGGGTAGTCTCATCAGAGAAGTAAGAATGATTGACCAAAACTACCGGCCCTCTGTAGAATGACTGTAGTAAAGTGGTGGTGTAAAGTGGTTTCCCTACATGTTTTTCTTAGTATCTACCCCAACTTTTTTTCTATTTTTCTTTTTTTTACTCTACAGACTTTTTGAAGTGTCACAGATGTGACACTAATGCTTGTTTAGAGGCCTTATTTGCTTTCTGATGTCTGAATAAAGAATATTGTACTATATACACTACTGGTTAATAATCTCACTGATGTCAGTGAATTTCAGTGGACAAAAATCTCTTTAGCAGTTCACAAGTTCTTAATTGCCAGCAATGAAATGGTTAGCAAGGAACAACTTGAAGACTAGGCAAACAGTCCTTTGTTTTGTCTTGGGCACGCTACACTGGTACACATTCTCCTCTGAATAAAAATCAAAATAAATATCAATAAATATTTGTCTCAGAATGAGTTAAGGACCACTGGCAAGTCACATCTTCATCCCAGGCCTGGTCTGAGTTTTAGCCCAGAATGATGGCTTCTCTGACTTACAGTCATTTTCTGTGACCTGTGAGGACCCATTTAATAGATTCTCCACTTTTCCCCATTAGCACTATTTGAGTAGAAGGCAAAGTGCCCTTATGATGTCACCAAAGAGTTCTCCTGAAATTATGCGCTTAGGATCTTAATACCTTAATACCTAAATCTCAGAGGAGCAAACTTGGCAGATAAGTAGGAAAGGGTGAAAACTGAGAGTCCCTGCTTTTATGGATACAAATGCAGAAGGATGTGAGCTCTAACTGCAGTAACAGTATCTCGACTGGCTTAATCTTGAACTTTATCTAGTCAAATAAATTGGTATGATTGTCATTTTCCTGAGAGGAACACTACTTTAAAGAGACTTGCTAGCTGCAGCTGATCTTTTGGATGCCCACCCCTCCCATCTGTTGAGGCAGCACCGTGGTCTGCCAGTTTGTTGGGGTGACACTACCTTTTGGTTGGCAGTCTGTTTATTGCTGTAAGGCTGTTTCTGCAAAATACTCCTGTTAGCACTTGTTAGCATCTGTGATCAGCTATGTGCAAAAACCAAATGGCATGGTGTTTGCTGGCACTTATGCTTGCCAAAAGAACAGTTTGAGCTGCAGAAGGTACCTGGTAAACCCATTAAAAACATGTAGATGTCAAAAGAGATGATGTGTGATATAAAGTATGCATCAAGCACTCTCTTAAAGGGAAAAACAGACTGGCACAGTGCAGTCAAGGGAAAGGAAGGGCCCAGAAACACAGTGTGGTTTACCCTCCTCAGTGAGAGTTTGATTAAACAGGCCAAAGAGAATATGGGGAGATTTTTCTGTTGGTATTTGATATATTGATAGCTGATGGAGGAGCAGAATGAAAGTCTGAATAACATTAAATCAATCTTAGGTGAAGTTGCACAAAAGATCTCTCACCTTGATCCCCCAAAATGAAGGACCTGATTCCAGATATACAATCCTTCTGCTTCCCTTACTCTTGTGGAGTTGGCAGAAAAGGTCAGAAGAACAAGATTCTCTCTTTTCCAGTGCAGTCAGGTCAGATGATGTTTTCCATACCTTTGGTGTTAAGCTGTCATTCAATAGTAGCTGAAGGTGAGGTGTTTTCATTGGTTGCTTGATTTCAGGCTTTCTCCTAGTAATGGTTTTAACCTGGTCAAAATCTGTGGTTGGTACAGTGTATGTGACCAAGTGGAGCCCTTCAAAAAGGATGTGCCTGTACAGTCCCATTCCTGTGTGGAGTGTTTGAGCTTATCAGTGGCTTCAGGGGGTGCTGTGGAGGAGGCCAGCCTATGGTGTGAAGAGGTGAATGACCTCCTTTCACTGGTGGCTGAGTTTAAGGATTAAATTGAAAGATTAAGGAGTATCAGGGATAGTGAAAGGGAAATAGACTGGTGGAGTTCAGCCCTCACATCTTTAAGAGAGTCTCACCAAGAGTCAGAGGACTCCTATGCCTTTTACTCTCAGGCAATAGAGTGTTGGAGTTTCGAGTATCTTTTTGGTTGTTTTGGATGATTTGAGCTTTTAGTTTATGGGAGAAGTTGTTGACTTTATATGAGTAATTATAAGTAAAAAGGTTTGAATAGTGTAATAGAAAAATTGACATAGGGTGGAAAAGTAGAATTTTAGGATTTTTTAGAATGAAATTCAGAGGTATAAGATGGAGGAAATTAGGCATGCCCTAGCTTCTTTTTCTTTCTTCTTGTCCTCTATGTCTCAGTGTGATGGTGACACTTTTCTATTAGTTTAGGATAGGGACACCTTGTTTAATGAAGATTTAAATATTAGTACAAGAACTGTAAACATGGTATGTGTAATTTTAGGTATATAATGTGGGAGATTCCTGGGGTGGGAAAGAAACTGCCATGGCTTCTGTACTAGCTAGACCTTGGCAGGTCAGAGAGAAGCTATTATAGATAAGAAAAAATAAACAATCTTGAAAACTTGGCTTCACGCATTCCAGGCCTCTTCTTCAGCAGCCGGGCTAAGGAAGAAACAACTTTCACACTGCTAAAGTCTTACCAAGTGACCTTGTCAGTTTTGGCATCTCTGGGTGGGCACGAGCTCACCAAAAGTGCTAAACATCAGACCCTAGCCCAAGAAGAAAAATCCCTGAAAAAGACAGCCTAAACCCCTACAGAAAGCAAACTTCTTCAAACTCAACCTGGAAAAGAGAAAATCCAAAAACCCTAGGTATTCTTCACCTGTTATCTGCTTGCCAGAGACTAAAAAAGCTTCCAGACCGATTTTGCAGATGACACAGCTATTAGTGAGACCAGTGAAAATTAAGAACATGGGGGGGGGAGGAGGGGGAGGGGGGGATTGGGGGGGGCTGTTCCCAAGACCAACTTAATATCTTATCCATTCTAAAGAATGTGGCAGCCACTTATCCTGTGACTTTAGCCAACGGGGAACTCAAAAATCTTTTGCTATAAGTCCATTCTAATTACCCACACACTGAGACCCATGTGATTTTTGGGCCAAGATTTTTAAAATATGTTAATATACAATTATATCATATAGCAACACAAAAAGACAAAATAACTATAAAACTTACTGCTCCAGCAAGAACCATGCTAGAAGCAATTTTAAACAAAAAATCCACAGAGTTGACTCCCACAAAAAAAAAAAATATTCCATCTTACAAAAAAGCAAACAAAAAATACACCCACCAAAGAGGGAGGGGGGCAAAAAACACCATACAAGCTACAAACAACAAATAACCCTAAAATATCAGGGGGGGAACAAAACCTAACACCAATCAAAAAAATACAAAAAGTATCATCAACCAATAAATCTCCTCAGGGAGAGCACCTGGTAGATGAAGGGGAGTGGAAATCTGTCCCTGCTCAGGAAGGTGATAACAAAAATACCTCCTGCCCCCCATCCCCTAGCCAGGTACCAGTTCAGAATAGGTATGAGGCCCTGTATCTAGAGAGCTAGCCAGATGATTTAAAAGAAAAATATCTACCCAGTGAGCCTCCCAGTTATGACTCATCTAAAAAACAGATTACCAGCTCTAACAACAAGAAGAAAGGAAGGGTAATCGTAGTGGGTGATTCCCTTCTGAGGGGAACAGAGGGCCCTGTATGTCGACCGGACCCATCCCATGGGGAAGTCTGCTGTCTCCCTGGAGCCCAGGTACAAAATATCACTGAGAAGCTTCCTAAGCTGATTCAGTCCTCTGATTATTACCCACTGCTGATACTCCAGGCTGGCAGTGATGAGATTATAAAGAGGAGTGTCAAGGTGATTAAAAGGGAATTTAGGGCCCTGGGTCAAGTGGTTGATAGGACAGGTGCACAGGTAGTGTTCTGCTCAGTCCCATTGGTGGAGAAAAAAATGACTAAAGAAAGAGGAGAACTCACATCATTAACAAGTGGCTCAAGTGTTGGTGTCATCAGCAAAATTTCAGATTCTTTGATCATGGGGCAACTTTTACAGCATCTGCTCTGCTGGAATCAGACAGGATACATCTCTCTGTTAAGGGCAGAAGGTTTTTAGCTCATGAACTGGCAGTCCTTGTTAAGAGGGCCTTAAACTAGGTCTGAAGGGTGAAAGGATGCATCTGGGCTGTCTGGAAGCAAGTCCAAGGATGGTAAGACTGTTAGGGGAGAAATCAGTGGACCAGCTGAGGTGCATGTACACCAATGCACACAGCATGGGTAACAAACAGGAAGGGCTGGAGGCCATGGTGCAGCAGCAGAGCTATGATGTAGTTGCCATCACAGAAACGTGGTGGGATGACTCACATAATTGGAGCACTGCACTAGATGGCTACAAGCTCTTCAGAAGAGACAGAAAAGAGAGAGGAGGTGGAAGGATGGCTCTTTATATTAGGGAAGTTTTGGATGTCATAGGTATTGAAACTAATGGCGATGAAGTTGAGTCCCTATGGGTAAGAATTAAGGGGAAGGCCAACAAAGCTGGCATCCTACTGGGAGTCTGCTATTGTACACCCAACCAGGATGAAGAGGTGGACAGCTTATTCTATAAGCAACTGAACAGTGTTTCAGGATCATCAGCCCTTGTTCTTGTAGGTGACTTCAACCTACCAGACATCTGCTTGGTACTTAATACAGCAGAAAAACAGCAGTCTAGAAAGTTTTTAGAGGGTGTGCAGGATAACTTTTTGTAACAACTGGTGGGCCAGCCCACCAGGGGAGGGACTATGTTAGATCTGTTGTTCACACATAGAGATGGACTGGTGGGTGATGTGGAGGTTGGAGGCCACTTGCGGCACAGTGATCATGAAATTATAGAATTCTTGATTATTGGTGAAATAAGGAGAAATATCAATAAGATCTCTATGTTGGACTTCCGGAGGGCAGACTTTGGCCTACTTAAGAGAATTATTCAGAGAGTTCTTTGGGAAACAGCCCTTGAAAACAAAGGAGTCTAGGCTAGATGGGTGTGCTTCAAAGCAGAGATCTTGAGGGCACAAGAACAGACTGTCCTTGTGAGCTGAAAGATTAATTGACAAGGCGAACAGCTGGTCTGGATGAGTGATGGGGTTTTGAAAAAACTTAGAAATAAAATATATATATATATATATAATCTTTTTAAGGAGGGACATATTTCTCAGGAAGTATTTAAGGGAGCTACTAGGACATGTAGAAAAAAAATTAGGGAGGCCAAAGCTCAGTTTGAACTTAAACTTGGCAATTTCTGTTAAAAATAATTTTTAAAGTTTTTACTAATATATTAATAGTAAAAGGAAGGGTATAACCGACCTCTGTTCCTTATTGGATGAGGCAGGCAACCTAGTAACTAAAGATGAGGAAAAGGCAGAAATGCTTAATGCCTACTTCTCCTCAGTCTTTAGTGGTAAGACAGCTTGTCCTCAAGACAACTGTCCTCAGGGGTTGGTAGGTGGTGCCAGGGAGCAGAATGGTCCTCTTGTTATCCAAGAAGAGGCAGTTAGAGAACTGCTGGGACACTTGGATATTTATAATTCAATGGGACCAGATGGGATCCACTCTAGGGTGATAAGGGAGCTGGCAAATGAACTTGTGAAGCGGCTCTCCATCATTTATCAAGAGTCATGGCTCACTGGTGAGGTTCCAGATGATTGGAAACTGGCCAATGTGACACCTGTTTAGGAAAAAAGGTAGGAAGGAGGATCCTGGTAATTGCAGACCAGTTAGCCTGACCTCAGTACCAGGTAAGATAATGGAGCAGTTCATACTGAGTGCTATCACACAGCACTTACAGGATGGCCAGGGTATCAGACCCAGCCAGCATGGGTTTACAAAGGGTAGGTCATGTCTGACCAACCTGGTCTCCTTCTATGACCAAGTGACCCGTCTGGTGGGTGCAGGAAAGGCTGTGGATGTTCTCTATTTAGACTTCAGCAGGGCCTTTGATACTGTCTCCCACAGCATACTCCTGGAAAAGCTGGCAGCCTGCGGCTTGGACAGGAGCACTCTGTGCTGGGTTAGGAACTGGCTGGATGGCCGGGCCCAGAGAGTGGTGGTGAGTGGTGCTGCATCCAGCTGGGGACAGTCACCAGTAGTGTCCCTCAGGGGTGTGTGCTGGGACCAGTTCTATTTAATATTTTTATAGACGACATGGATGAGGGCACTGAGTCCTTCATTAGTAAATTTGCAGACGACACTAAGCTGGGAGCTTGTGTTGATCTATTGGAAGGAAAGAGGGCTGTGCAGAGAGACTTAGATTGGTTGGATAGATGGGCAGAGTCCAACAGCATGAAGTTTAATAAGTCTAAGTGCAGAGTTCTACATTTTGGCCACAGAAATCCCCTACCAGGTTACAAGCTGGGGACAGTGTGGCTGGACAGTGTTCAGGCGGAAAGGGACCTGGGGATGCTGGTCGACAGCTGGTTGAATATGAGCCAGCAGTGTGTCCTGGTGGCCAAGAAGGCAATCTGGCCTGCATTGGGAATTGTGTGACCAGCAGGAGCACGGAGGTCATTCTTCCCCTGTTCTCGGTGCTGGTGAGACTGCATCTTGAATGTTGTGTTCAGTTCTGGGCCCCTCAGTTTAGGAAGGATGTTGAGACGCTTGAGCACGTCCAGAGGAGGGCAGCAAGGCTGTTGAGGGGCTTGGAACACAAACCCTATGAGGAACGTTTGAAGGAACTGGGGTTGTTTAGCCTGGAGAAGAGGAGGCTTAGAGGTGACCTTATTGCTGAAGGTTATTGACCTCCTGAAGGGAGGTTGTAGACAGGTGGGGTTTGGTCTCTTCCACCAGGCAGCAACTGACAGAACAAGAGGACACAGTCTCAAGCTACGTCAGGGAAGGTGTAGTTGGATATTTGGAAAAAAATTTTCACTGAAAGAATAATAAAGTACTGGAATTGTTTTCCCAGGGAGGTGGTAGAATCACCATCTCTGGATGTGTTTAAAAAGACTGGACATGGCACTTGGTGCTATAGTCTAGTTGAGGTGTTAGGGCATAGGTTGGACTTGATGATCTTAGAGGTCTTTTCCAACCTCATTATTCTGTGATTCTGTGATTCTGTAATTGGTGTCTCACCCTTCCCCTTACACTATCGAGTGCACCACAGCTGGGCTAAGCTGGGCTATTTCAAGTCACTACCTGGCAGAAAGCTAAGCAGGCCAGGAGTGTGGGTCCTTTAAACATGGTGAGATGGCACAAGGGCTTGCTGTCACTAGGAGGTGGAGCTTTGTTCCTATTCCTTCTCCCATTTGTAGACATTTCTGGCACATTCCTGGCCTTCACGTGCACTACCATTCAGTATCCCATCAATTTTTCCACAAGCCAATTTAATTCACTAAAATTTTAGAGAACACTCACTCCCCGAAAGTAACAATTTTCTACCATTTTAGTCATCTAAAGGAAAGTGAGGGGATTTGACACCTGGTGCTGATGCTGCAGATGAAGGCTGTATGTCTGTGAGCAGGGAAGTAAAACAAAGATTAAGATTTTCTCTTTTCAGAAAAAGGAAACAATTAAGCCAGCACAGCTGCAACTAAAACTGCAGCTAAAAGCAAGTGAACAGTTCCCTGCTGGCATGGTACATCCAGATGTTTTGAAGGACAATCGGATAAGTTTGGACCAAGCACAAGCCAGGAGATAGGAACATGAGAGATGCTGGCCTGAAGCAAGGAATTATGGCAGCCTGCAGGTTTTTTTGGTTTTTTGTTTTTTGTTTTTTGTTTTGTTTTGTTATGTTTTGTTGTTTTGGTTTTTTTTTCTGCTTTGGAACTGGCATCTCCTGCTTCTGCCATGGATCTGCAACATCACAGAAAAAATGAAAGCTGGAGGGAGGTTGCTGTTTTCTATGTAGTTTTCCTTAAAACTACTAAAAAATTTCAGTAGGTATAAAACTACTAAAAAATATCCTATTTTGCCAGAGCAGAAATAGGTAGTCTGTTCTCAAGGACTTCCACTACACAGAGACTTATTTCTGAAGTTAACAGAGGGCAATGGAAATGGACAGTGGGCTGGAGCAGATGACCTGTAATGAAAGCCTTGGGGAGCTCATCTTGCTTAGTCTGGATAACACTTAACTTTCATCTCTGGAAGGTTTCAAGGCCTGAGTTTCCAATGCCCCAAATAACCTGATTGAAATTTAATATTGACACTGCTTTTGACAGGAAGTTGGGCCAGGCAGCCTCTGAGAGCACTTTCAACAAAATTAATTCTACAATTTGATGGTGGAATTTTTTTCTGCTCAATTTCAGATTGTAGTATTTTAGGCAGGAGTTCAATATGCAACTGTGAGAATTAGGAAGAGCCTTTTTTGATGAAAAGTGATTGCTGCCTTTAACAAACTGTTTGCAAGTTCCCCCTGCTAAAGTTTTGGTAACCCTTACTAGTCATTTGTGTTTCAGTAGCTGGGTGGCAGGTAAATTCTACACAGCAAAATACTGCTTAAAAGTGTGCTTAAATACAGTACATACTATCTCACCTCTGTTTGATGCTCTTCAGCCTGAAGTGCTGGAGCAATGGTGCCAAGTTGGCAAAGTTGGCAAGACAGTAAAGGCCAGAATTTCTCTAAGGAAGATCAGCATGTTTTTATCACATTTGAGCAAAGCCTATCTCCAGAACATCCATTTAACTCCAGAAAAAGTTAATGAGAAAATATTAAAATATTTGTGTTCGGTATGTTTCCAGTTTTTACAGAGCTTCAGAAGACAGAGCAGTTGGGAAAAAAAAAATCACAAAAATAATAATAATATAAGAAAAAAAACCCACAACCAGAAAAAAACCCCAAAAGATAAATTCTTAAATTCTGTAGCATTTTGTCTTTTCCATTAGGATATGGAAGGATCAGGTAGCATCAACCTGTTAAGTGAATCAAGAATTCCTGGATCAAGGGGACCAAAGGTGAGTGGGTGTTTTGAAGGAGGGGAGTATAATTTGTTGTTGGGTTGTTTGGTTTGTTTTGGGTTTTTTTCCAAACAGAACTTTCCTCCATTCTGCTTTTTGGAATCATATAGCCCCAGTCAGCTATAGATTGAGAGTCACTACATTGAAATGGATTCACTTGCCCTAGAATGTCATTAAAATAATTGTGTCCTCCAAAGAATCTGATTGATACCTCATTAGCTAATGATTTTTTTGATTCTGCTCTGTTATATTTTTGAGATCTTAAAGGGTGAAATAAGGGTTTTCACATTATCTAGCTCTCTATTTCTCCTTTCATCCTAATAGATACCTTTATCTCATAAGAAGGTGAACCACATGTATGAAGATTAAACTTGAAATGCTATAGTTTGACAAACAAAAGTGTATAATACAACATGCCACTTTTAAACTAAAAAATTGTTCCCAGTAGTGTGGGAGCAATGTCATAGACAAAGGGATGCTTTTTTACTCCATTACTGTGTCTCGGGAGATTTTTTGCTAGTGTGGGCCACTTAAATCATGAAGTAGGGAATATGGGAATATAATGTATCAGTGCCAACAAAATCATTTGGATTTATTGTCATTCTTAGCAATTGAAGGAGCTCCAGTGGTTTAGTCTGGCAACAAAAGGAGACAAAGGCACAATCCAGTAGCTACTTAATGAGTTTCTGAGGGGCAACTGCAAGTATGATTTAGCCAAACTGTTCCTTGTTGTGCCAGTTGGTGCAGCAAGGGATAGTGGTCACAATTCGCAGGTTGTGATGTTCAGGCTAAGCCTTAGGAGAAGGCTGTTCACTAGAAGGTTGGAGCAATTGCCCAGGGAGATTGCAGGTCTGGTCTTGGAATTACCAAGACTTTGCTGGACAGAAACATGACTGACCTGATCTGAAGCTTCAAGGGAGTGAGTTGTTTCGACGGCTTCCACAGGCCTGTACAATCCTGTCATTCTATGAATCATCAGACACCAACTGAACGCTGGAAGCAGGAGTGACTTTGACTCCTTTACTGTGTTGGTTTAAAGTACTAGTAATTGTGTGTCACTGAAGATGTAGCTGACAGCTTAGAGAACTTTGCCCCCTCTTACGTCTTTTCCTAGATACTAAAAATAGTACAAAAATATAATTACAAAAATAAGTATTTAATTTGTTAGCTGAAGGAGGTGTCCACAAGCAGGGCCGAAATTCTGCATTCTGACCTGTCCTAGTCACAGCCTTATTCTCACATTTGGTTTTATAACAGGCATTGTTTCCAAGTAACTCTGCTATAAATATTCAAAAAATGTCTTGTTGCAGTTGAACAAAATTTTCCTGTTACTGCTTAATTACTCTGCAAAGTTTGAGTCAGTACAAAAGAGAGATGTAAAAAGGAAGATAAGAAAAATAAGAATTCTGCTGAAATTATGAAAATACTTTTACATAGTTACTGTACAGCACTATGAGCCATTTACACCTTATCACAACTCCAGAATACCCAGTGGTGTTTAGGTGAAAAGAGAGAATCTGCTTCAAAGGAAGTTGCAACTCAAAACAGCTGCTAAGAAATAAATTACTTCTATTGGCATTGTCTTTGTATCTGTTGAAATTTCTATTAAAATAGCGATTGGGTTTTGAAGGAGAAATATAAATTATTTTTTCTGACAGCTCAGCTCTCGTTTCCAGGGCTTCTTTTATTTTCTTCCACAGATCAGTGTAAAGTTTCATTGGTGTTTTCATTATTTAGCATTACCATTTATATCTGCTTTCATATTCCAGATAAAGAAAATTCAATCACTTTGTTGAATTCCTTTCTATTCCATTCAACTTTCTACAATGACTAGTAATGAACTGCTGTCCATTTTACTATCAAAGAGCCATAATTGTTCTTTACAACCCATGTCATTATATAGAGATGAGAAGAATTTGAATTTCCAAATTATTTTTTAAATAAAAAATTTGGGAAACTTTTTTTAAATCTAGCAAGATTGTGTTGCTGCTAAACTGGTAGTATATCTTAATTTTAGTCAAGAATGCAAATTCAAAAAAATTTAAGCAGTTGAAAGCAGTACATCACAACACATGTGCTTGGATAAATTTATTTCTAATATTTTCTAAAAACAAGTATAGAATGCAGTGACAGACATAAAGATGTATTTGTAAGAATAAGTGCATTTTTTCTGAAAAAATAATTTATTTTGAAGGGCCATGTGGATTTACCAGTAAATTTAGTGTATTTTTATAGGGTTCTGCAGGAAGACCTGGACATCGTGGACCCTTAGGACCAAAGGTTAAAACACTTGAAAGATAACCTATATTGTTTTAGCATTTCTTTTTCATATATTTTTATTTCCATATTCCCAGAATTTGCCTGAATATAACATCTTTCCTTTAAGAATCATATACTGATTAATTTGGAACATATATTGTTCCCATTTACACTGGATATCTATGCAGCATATGTGTTATTAGAATTATTTCACATCCAACAAAACCACTGAGTAAATACTAACTGGGTTATTACATTCCATGGCATCTTTTTTAAATTTTTTTTGGACATCTGGCAATTTCTCTTTTTTGCTCATTTATATGTCACTCTGGTCTCAAAGAAGATACATGTATGCTGTTGAAAGAGGAATCTGCATGAGGAGGCCTTCTGATCCCAGAAAGTGATAGGAAAACATTCTGGAAGGTGCTGGGGGAAGAAGGGAGGAGCAATGACTACTTTGTTTAGTTTTATTTGAGCTTAGAAGTGACTGAATTTTTCCACTTTGATGCTGCTACTGGTTGTGTAACCCATGACGAAAAAAATTGAGAGATGGAAAATCACAGAAGAAAAGGGCAGATTTGCAGAATGGGTCGCTTAGACAGGAAGAGGCTTTTCCTATTCCTATGTAAAGCTCGACCACTCAGGTTAATAGTACAGCATGACAACACCTTAAATGTGAAGTTAAAGAAATCTAAGGTCTTCATTGTCCTGGGAAATAATAGCAGGATTGAAAGAGTGGGAAGTGGAAGTTGAGAAGTAGCAGAGCTCATCCTCTCCCCGTGAAATTTTCACCTGAGCTTACACCCAGCACTAATCACTGACTGCCCATTGCCAACAATAACTGCATACACCTAATTCATAGCACAACAGCCACCAAAGATCTGACCAGCCCTCTCTGTCTACAGTCTGTAAAGCTCAGCTTCTAGAGCTGAAAAAATCTCTCCATTGTGTATTATTCCTGTTACTGCTGGAGCACATAACTTACGAGTGAAAAAAAATCACAATTTGCACAGCACATGTTTGTGAGTGATACTGGAGTGGACTGGTAAGAATAGATGCGCTCTCACATGATGCTGCTCTGTGCACATGCACAGGTGCCAAGTCTCCACACTGAAAATTCCTTTTTTTTTTTTTTTTTAATTATTCTCTGTCCTTAGCTAGAAATTTTGTTTCTAAGAAATTCTGCTTCACAAAGATTTCAGAAATTGATGTAGCAGGATTCTTAGGATTTAGGAAATGGGCTGGAGTAGTAGAGATAGTCATAAACTTTGGCTAAGAGACCTCACCATCACCTTGGTTTAATCATTCATCCCCAAGATACATGAGAAACAGAAAGGAGCCTGCTATTGCCTGACATCTTACAAAACCAGGTACACTACAGCAAAATTAATATAAAGTGGTTATAATACACTATCATTCTCATGGGGATGAATTTTACACCCACTTTTCATGATTATAAATTACTTCACTAAGCAACAGTGGCAAAATACAACAACCACCCACTTCCAGAGCCCAAAGCCCAGAGCTAATGCATCACGAGGAGTTGAAGGTATAGCTCTGTTTCATGCATCCTTCGTCCTTCAAACACCCCAGACAAGTACAGCTGTCAGAGAAGACCTTCTATGATCAATCTTTTCTCTTTCTCAGCAAGTAAGCATGGATCCAAATTCACTTTCACTTTTATTATTATGAAAAGCTGTTTCCATTAAAAAACAGCCTACAGTCTTCACACTCTCTTGAATATATGAACTCCCAAAAAGCAGTAAGCATAAACATAACATTTGAGGCAATGGCTGATTTATTCCAGTCTGTATTCTCTATCTCCAAAGAAATAAACTAAATTGGATGTTCTCTATCTGTTACAAAATTGAACAACCGTGTCTACTTAGAGCTAAAATCATGCAGAATCGGTTCCAAAGGTGTTCATTATTTCACTTGTGGTTTGATGCAGTGCCCAGGTAGGTGGAGAGAGCAGCAGTGTGGGGAGACTGTGTTAGCTGTTTTGGAGGAAGATGGTGAATCCTTTGTGGAGACACAAGGTCATGGCAGCAGTGGTAGATCTGGGGAACATTACCATGAGCTGGTTTCAGACATCAAAATGAGGGTTCAGGAATGTGGCTTGGTGAATGCTCAGCAAAAATAATGAGTTGTGACCATAAACTCGTTAGATGTGGGTGTCAACTGGGTGGTTAAAATCTCAGAACCAAATAACAAATGCATGCCAAGCATAACTTTACCAAAAATACGCCATATTTTTACTAATTGTTTTACTCCATTTGGTTCCTTTGTTTTTAAGGAAAGTAGCATACATGTTTAAAACCCTTGTAATTACTGCTTACTTTAATACTTGAGCTCTACTTTGTTTCTGTTTCAGGGAGAAAGAGGCAACATAGGTCCCCCAGGTTCAAAGGTGGGAAGTTTATTTAACCTGATCTAAAACCTCAGTTGTTTCTTTCTTCTGTTTCTTTTCATCTCTTCATGCACTTAGGGAATGCACTTAATGAACATTTCTTGCTCTGTCAGCATATTAAAGCCCAGAGTGGCTTCACAAACCCCTTTCTCTGGTGAATTGTGTCAGGAGCTAGTATAAGCTGGTGCTTAAGACTTCTGCCTAAAATGTGGTTAAAATTGCATCTAAAAGGTGTATGTCTTCAAAGACGTCTTGCAAGGCCCTTCACATTTTCACCAGAATGAAGATAAAAATCAGCAAAGCTTAGACAGAAAACTAAAGTTCCACATGCCTGTTCCTTCATATGGTGGTGTATAGTTCCCACTCCACACCAGAGCACCCCACAGGTCTGTGCTACAGTAGTAGGCTCATGTCTAATGTCTGTCTTAATCCCTGCCTTGAACTCCTCTTGGAGCCCACCCCAAAACTCCTCTTTGGGACTGTGCTACTCCTTGCTGGTCTGTGTCTGACCTGAATGTCTCTTGCAGGCATAAGCCAGCAGAGAGCGCTGGTGTGACTCTAGAAAATTAATAAAATAAAATAAAATAAAATAAAATAAAATAAAATAAAATAAAATAAAATAAAATAAAATAAATAAAATAAANAATAAAATAAAATAAAATAAAATAAAATAAAATAAAATAAAATAAAATAAAATAAAATAAAATAAAATAAAATAAAATAAAATAAAATAAAATAATAAAATATAATATAATATAAAATAAAATAATAGCCTTCTTCTGCATTTGGCATGGCCCTGAAATCAAAATTTGCTTTAGGAAACAAGATAAATGCAGTTATGCTTGCTGAGTATTTACAAGAGTATTATCACAGTCTTCTAGCAGCATCTGCTTGTTTATTTTTTAAAAATACCAACAGTGTAGCAGGACTCTTCTTACCATAAATTCCATCTGCTGTACATATTATGAGTGTTGTCATTTCACATAGATATTTGTCAGCATGATAATTAAAGTTGATGCGCTGACACACAGGACAGTAGTTGAACTCTTGTTAACCAGTGTGAGACTATAGAATATTTTATTTATTATTCCTACATGTCCCTTCTTCTTAGGTCCTTTTTCTAGTAATTATTGTTGTTTTATGTGAGAGTGCATTTGAAATATGTGTATATTTTAAGTGGAGTAAATACAGGATTATTTTAAAAATAAGAATTTTATCCCTTCAACTCTCAAACTAAAAAATATGCTCTTGTACCTGAGCAATGAGCTACATTCTTAAAATATGATGGAAGTTAGAAATAAGGATGTCTCTGAATACATTAGCTGCAATAAACCATCTTACTTAACCTGGATCTTTTCTTCCCATTTAAATTTCTTTAGGAAAACAAATGGGAGAAATTATTCAGCATTTGTAATGGTAGGAAGCTATCCTGCAAGTACCAACATGCCTGAAATGACAACATTCTGTTGCAGAAATGCTGTTGTTCCAAGATAATTTCCTCTGCCCGTATACTTTTCCTGAAGATAGATACTTATAATTTATCATAAGCACTTGAGAAGCTTACATCCAAGTACCATTTTTACTGCTCATACAGATACCAGAATCGCAGTAGTTGCTTTGATGCCTAAATTCCATTAACAGTCAGTCACCCTTTATCCTGTCTATAAAATTGTTTATAAAATGAAGAATGGAATATTTCAGAAATCATATTGTATTCCTGACCCACACTCTTCACTGATCTCTGACCAAAAAAAAAAAAAAAATAGCAGTGACGATATCCTTTCTTAATGAAGCAGGCACATTACATCTTTTATGGTTGTACATATATTGTTAAAACTCAAATATGTTTTCTTCAAGCAGAGCAAAATGTTGGAAACACAACAGTATTTTCTAAAAACCAAAATGAAACAAACAAATCCCCAGCATATTTCAAAAAACCCTCAAAGCAAAAGCAAACAAAAACAAAAACAAAAAACAAAACAAACAAAAAAATAACAAACCGAAAACCACATACAAAACAAATACCCAAAAAACTCCACCAAAGAAAACAATCTAGCAAGAGTAATCGGTCCCTTGGATGAATCATTAGGCTGCTCTGTGTCATTTCCTTTGCTCTTTCATATGATGCAGAGAAAAACAGATGCAAAAAGCATAGCTCACTGTTGATCTGGTCCTTTGAAAATTTAGAAACTTCTTTTATCCATTTTTCTTAGGGCAAACTGCATTATTATTAGTGCTTCTGTTTTTCCCATATAGCAGAGTAGCTATCAAATTCCAGCAGTCATATACAGGCCTGTAGTGAAATACAGCAGGGGGTGTTTTTACCCCACATACTGACTCCTGTCTACATCCGATGCCAATGTCTACATCCCTTCTCTTCCTCCAGCTTGAGAGTCACTTAACTGAAGGGTGGAAATAGCTCATCAAAAGTATTTTGAAGGAAAGCAACAAAATTCACCCTTTTGCTAAGCAGGGGTGGAAGCAGTGAACAATGATTGAAGCTGCAGGGGGGGAAAAAAAAGCCATAAGCTTGCTCTGGAGAGGGGGAAAGAGCAGGAGGAGTGGAGAGAGCAGATGACTAATGAGATAATGAGCCTCCCCCAAACCTGCCCACCAGCCCGTTCAGAACTGTATCGTGACCCTCCCCAGTGGCCGCCTCCCGCTTGTGTGAAACTGAATGCAGTTTAGAGAGAATAACTGTGTGTTTTTTGTGGCAGGGGATGCCAGGCACAGATGGAAAACCAGGCTTCCCTGGCATTGCTGGGCATCCCGGAGAAATGGTGAGTGGGGTTATCATCATCTCTGATCACCTGACACACACTGGCTCCCAAACCTACCTCTTACTGATCAGTAGGATCAGCGCTTGCCAGCAGAGTGTGAAGAGCTGGAGCTGTGTTTGTCCTGCTTAATCTGGAGCAGTTACCTCAGATAAAAACCACAGAAGCAGAATGTAACTTGCCCATGCTTCCCTCATCAATCAGAAGAGATACAGGCATCTCCAGAGGCTAGTTCTGATTCCTCAATGATCCTTCTGCTTTTAATTATTCAGAAATCAGCTCTGCCTTTAATTAGAGGAAATCCAGTAGGCTCATAGGTGATTTTAATGTATTTCTCATGCTTAAGACCCTCGAGGATTACAGTGTGCTTTGCTTGGCAAGTCCCATGGCTCATCCTATGGTACCTTCCTCTCACTTGTGCCAGACAAGTGTCTGCATTTCTAGCACAGGGAGTTCTACAGCAGGGCTGATCAAGCTTAGAAATAAGCTGCCTGAAAGATGACAGTTTAGCTCCCCTGTCTTCTCCTGTCTGGTCCTCTGGGAAATCCCAGACACAGCTGATGTGGTTGATGCCAGAAAAGGACAGCACAGCCCAAGATGGCTGATTTCAGTGCAGTGAAAGAAAAGTTCACTGGATTAATTCCCAGCTAATGAAATGTTTTGTGTCCATTTGCTTCTAGTTGTCTGCAAACTCTGTCAAAAGTTCTGGGAAATACTTTTAAACCTCAAACCTTCAGAAGATCTGAGTTGGCCCCGTGTGTGTTTTGAGAGAGCTGGGAATTGATTGTTCTGTACATGAAAATCACTGCTGTGCTCTTTTGTGGAGCAAGGGAGAGCACATTTCATAATTTCACCTTTTAAATCACTTATGCTTTTTTTCTTTCTTTTTTTTTTTTTTAATCACCTGAAGGGTCCAAAAGGAGAGAAAGGTGACCCAGGACTTCGGGTGAGATTGTGTAGATTTCATTATTTTCGAAAAACCTATGTGAAATGTAAAATGTAGTAATGTAGTGCTTAGTGTATGGGTTTTCCACATGTAATGCTTTTGAAATAGGGTGAACCAGGACAGGACGGGAGCAGTATTGTGGGACCACCTGGACCACCAGGACCACCAGGGTCAGTCATAGCAATACCTGAGGTAAGTGTGCATGTCGAGCATTGAGGTCTGTTACTCCCCTTACAGAGAAGAGGGCACAGTGGTTAACACACTGGCAATTCTGCTGCTCACTCAGGTCATAAGTCTACTCCTCAAAACAAAATAATCTCAATATGTCTCTGTATCAAATGGATTTCTTTTGAAAATATTAGATTGGAGGAAAGTGGGTAAAGAGCTTAACTACAAGAGTTATGAGGTCATATTGAACATCTCTTTAGGTGGCTCTGTGGGAGTTGTGAGCATCAAATAGAAACCAACAGAGAAATACAAAACTGGGAATATTTAACAAAGCAAAGCATCTGAGGCACAGTAGTATGGGGGGAGAGTAATTTCCTGATAGTTGTCCTCTGTACAAACCAGAGCACTGACTCTGGAAGCAACAAGGGGTAAAATAGTAGAAGCCCATAAAAACTCTCCAGTATGCTTTAGATGCAGGCATATTTTCAGTTAGTTTTGCAGTATGTGCATCAGCCTTTGCAAAAACAGTACTATATGCAGTAATGAAGGCTGGAGATTAGGATGTATCCCACTTGGATATGACAACAAAAATCTTAGTAGTTAGCCTGTTGTGACATTAAGATCTGGAGGAACTGTGAGTGACTGCAGGAAACTTCACCTCTGAGAGGTGGAGGTGCCTGAAACAGCCAGCCATATCCATAGGAATGTATAGAAGGGCAGTAAGAAGAGTTTTTTATTTGTAAGAAGAGAAAATGCCCAGCTGAGAAATCTGTGTTAAGGGGAGCTTGGCACCATCATTATCATAAAGCTGAACTACACATTACCTTTTTTGACTGAAACAACTGGGTTTTCACTTAGGCTTTTGCTGCCAATACCAAATATAGGATTAATTTGCATCCCATAGGCCACATCACACGTCCTAACAGAAGTGATTTTTTCTTTACTGAATTTACTGGGAATCCATGCTAGGATCTTGGATCCCAAGTCTTGGATGAGCAGAGTTATATACTCATAGAAATGTTGGTTGTGTTCAAAGTCCTGCTGTTAGTGGGACTGTCAGCAGCTCTACACTTTATCACAATTCTGTTGGCGTTTCTGGGGAACTGCTCAATAGTTGTGATAGAAATCCTGATGTAAAGTTCATGTTCTTTCTCACAGCCCTGCCATGGTGCCACTGTGGGGCCTTAACTCTTATCAGTGACTAAACAGCTCTGTTTGCAATAAAAATTAACCTCAATGTGTTGCTCCATAGCTCACTAATACTTGAAAAAAACACTGTGACAGCCTCAGAGTGGGGACAGTACATATAAAAAGCATAAAAAGATTATTGAAGCTGACATAAACTAATGACACTCACTTCCTGGAGGCTGCATGACTTCCTACCTGTACTAGTCACAGTCCACACATCTGTCAAACATGTAGCTATGTCTGAAGAAACCTAAAGTGCATCCTCTGAATCCTCCAGATCCTCTGTATGAACTACTTTTACCATGTATTACAGAAATGTATAGAGCCTGGTAGAATCTGTATTGCATGAGGTGTATTACAAATCCATATAGAAACCCATTTCCTTCTCTAAGCACTTTTGGGTTTTAGAAGTAAGCTCTTTTTAAAGATTGAGAGCATTTACGGCTTTATATACATTTGTAGTATAGGTGTTCTGGGGAGGTAGGGCAAGAACCATCAAATCCTCTGTATTGTTAATCAGAATATTTCTCTGAGAACTTTGTGTACTGGATTTTGATACAGTTCATGCAACGTGTGTGGAATTATCCATCACTATGTATGACATTGAGTTCTTCCTGTCTCACAAATGCTTGTGTAAGAACAGGATATTTGTTTGCAATAAGTTTGCTGAGATAGACATTAAATTATCCAAGTGCATTTTGTTAACTCAGTCTCTCTTCTTTCATAGCAAGCTTCAAATATGGAAAAGAACTATTGCAAGCAGACCTATCAATTGCAGTTGGAATTGCAGAACTAAAATAAATAACACTGCCAGCTGTTGTAATATGGATATTGGCTTGATGTGGGTAGAGCAGCAGAGATCAGTGATCTGAGTGAACCATAGGGCACTTAGAGAGATTACTCTCCAGGTCAGGGTCATCCATTTAACCATTGTGTAGCCAAGAACAATACTTATTGGGCTACAGAAGTCCAATGGACTTACCCATCAAAGGTGGAAAGAAGTTTTCTTGAGAAGGTCTGTTTGGCTACAGCTAAACTAACTTTGTGTTGCTTGAACAAAAAAAAGGAAATAAAGAGTTAGTTCAGTTTCAGTGCTGTTGAAATATTTAGAGTTGACATGGACAACTGTGACCCAGGGCCAGGCTTCACCAGTAAGTATCTGGCTGATAGCACATTGATTGAGCTGCACTGAAAAGTGGACCTTGTTTTCCTTCTCATTTCACCTGGTCCCTATGTGAATGGAGGAGATTTGGCTCCTTCAAGAACTACTTCTCATACCATGAAAATAAGTGTTAGGGGAAAACTGAGGTCTGCAGTGGAACCTATCAATTTCCAGGCTTTTGCAGTTCCCACCAGCAATGTAGGTCTTAGAGGCTTTCTGTCCTTGCTGCCTCCTCTGTTGCCTCCTGTGACTGATCAGGAGACTGACTCATCATGTTTTAAAAAAACCAGTGTCCCTCTGTTTGCTGTTGTTTGATATTCCAAAACACTTACATCAATATTTTTCATCCTATATTGGCTATTTCACTCTTTCAGAGCGTAGTTGCTGATACTCAGTGCATTTTCATGAACGGAATCATGATAACCAGAGAATCATATTTGTTGCTATGATTTTATCACAGAAATATAGTTTGGTATAGTACAGAAGTAATTTTGAATAGAGAAACATTATTGGATTTAAATTTAAAACTTTTAAACCTTTATGTTTGGCTGGCACTATTCACCCATAGTCTAGGTACAAGAAACAAAAGTCACAAAGAAAGGTTAATGTTGAGGGTGTAAAGCAGATGTCAAAAGATTTTGTTCAGCCTGTTCTTTCTGTAATTCTGAAAAGGCCATATTCATGCCTTTTGGATACAAAGCTGAAGGTTTATTTAGAAACCAACCCAGATAATCATCCTAAAATATAACAGTGAAGAAAATATGGAAAACATATTTACTTTATTATTATAAACATATATAACATATTATTTTATTTTATTTTATTTTATTTTATTTTATTTTATTTTATATAACATATTTATTTTATTGTAGTCAGCACTTTCTGAACTAATTCAATGTGTTTAAGAGTTATATTGCTGGATTGTTGTTATTAAAGCTGTTTGCACACCCAAACCCAAAGATGAATATTCCTGGAAGAAGTTGTGAAGACTGAAATCTTTTTCTTTAATCATCATTCTTCTACCTTTTGTTTTCAAATGTTCTTCAGCATTATGTACGGTTTTCTGACTTCCAATCACAATTTCCATTTGCAGATCAACTGTATGTGTAAAATATACAATGTGCCTGATCCCAAACTCAGCAAAGCCTTTGGGATTCTTTTCACTGACTTCAAAATAGTTTGGATTGAGCCCAAAAACAATTAATAATGAGTGATTCCACAATGAAAAGACCATGTAAACCCAGGACTCCTGGATTTCTGCCACCAGATAAAGCAGAACAATTGCAGCAGTGGGACTCTTTTATTACTGTCATTAAAGTAGGAGGCTGTGTCCTGTTCCTTTTCTGGGGCATGTAAAACTGGAAATTGAGTGGGACCAAGGGCATCATACTATCCCTGAAGCATGCAGTAGAGTTAATGCAGCCTGGGAGATGGAGTGCTGTGTGTAGGATCTAAACTCTATTTTTACTTGACCATTTTTCTGGTGGTTTTTGTAGACTATGAGGACCTCAAAGCACAGAAAGCTGGCTATACACTGCCATGCTCAGATGACAATGGATAGGATAGGATAGGATAGGATAGGATAGGATAGGATAGGATAGGATAGGATAGGATAGGATAGGATAGGATAGGATAGGATAGGATAGGATGTGTGATCTGGATTTAAAAAATAGTATTCAGAGACTCATAGGAGTATTGGAAGTGATCTCTGGAGGGCATATGGTCAAACTCCTATTCAAACAAGGTAGTATCAAACTCAGTTCCTGGATACTGTATTCATAACAAATGTTGGAAAATATTGGTGGTCTGTTCATGTTGATCTACACATGGTTGCAGACAGTAAAAGAGGTATTCAAATCTCACAAAACTGCAGTGACAACATGTTTATTTATGGGCTAAGTAAATCCCTGGCACCTGAAGGCATGCCCTATCCTGGCATTGAGGACTGTTGGAGCAGATCTCCAAAAGTCCCTGTCCATCTTCATTATTATGCAGAAATGCCTGGGTTAATGGGAAGCTCACTACTTCCAGGACAGGGAGCAGTGCAATTACACTGTGCTGTTCAAGCATCTTGAGACTCAGCACTGGGTAGTGGAGGAGCTGCTCCACATCTCAGTTTGGGGTTCCAAGCTAGTTTCAGATACAGCAGCATGATCAGTGCTGACTTAGGAATTGCAGCATGGCGTTGCATGGTGTGATGCAGACATGTCCAGAATATAATTAAAACTTCAGCTCTGCAACAGAGGATGAGTGTGCTCATACTGATTCACCATCTTAGAATGCCAGTGACACACTGGAGCATAAAACCTCCATTTGATCTTTATCTTGCTGAGGAGGAATGGCTTCAGGCTGCAAAATTTGGTATCATAGCTTTCAAATTTAAAACATGAGTCAGTTAATTAAATTTCTGAAAGTATTCTGAGATCTTTACAGAAGAAATGTAAAAGAAATTCTAGGTTTTCTTTATTCCAAATGTATAAAGAAAATTAGAAGTAGAGAGCCTTTTCTGTCACCTTATTTATGTTTGAGGGTTATTCATAGTTATAAAGAGATAACTACATTTCTAAAAATGTGTGTGTGCCTTAGATAAACCATTTGAAATAACCTGTTTCTTAACTCTTTTTTTAGTTACTTCTCAATAACACAGATGGAATTTCTAATTTTGCTGAAATTAAAGGACTTCTTGGGCCACCAGTGAGTATACACTGCTTTATTAAATCTCCAGATTTTCTCTATCTTCAACATCTCCTTTGGAGTATCAACTAGAAATGAGTTTCCTATACATTAAATTTTGTTTCTGCTAACTTCAGCACCAAAATCTGTGGAAGTACTTTCAGGCAGAAGTGAGTTCTGTGTGAACAAACTACTTTTACACTTTTGTATGAAATAAATTGGCTTATCTCTGATTCTGAGCTATATACTCAGAATTATAGAAATGTAGAACTTTTGCAAAAATAGCGACCAAGGTTCACATTTCTTCCACTTTTTCCTTCTTGTTTTTCAAGTCACATAGCATTGGCATAAAGTGTATTTTGCTCACTTCTGCTTGAGACTTCAACTAGAAATGCTAGGCTCCTGTCTATGAGTTTAGTCTCACACAAGTTATAGCTGTGAATGAAAAACTAGGAATTTAATGAAAGAACAACTCAGGTTCTCTTCTAGGTGCAAAATAGTTCAAATACTTGAAATCCTGAACGCTTCTTGGTAATGATTTCAAGTTCCTAGAACTGGATTCAAAGAGAAATCTACCTTTTCCAAGCTGTGGAGTCTATTCAAACTTGCCCAAAAGTGTAAAACATATTGCAAAATTTTCACCACCACAAATTAAGCACCTCCCTTTACAGCTAGTTTCATTTGTGAATTCTAGTTTGTGTATTTAATTTTATCTGTTTTCTTGTTAGTGAGCACTGTGATTCCTCCACATTGAACCCCTGATGAAACAAGGAAAGTCAGAATCTTCATAGCCAATAGCAGAATTTCACTCTACATAGCTTAAGTTTGCAAAAATTTTGTATCTTATCATTACTGCTGTCCCAAAACAAATATTTGCTGAATCTGTCATTGAACTGGGAAGAAGGGCATTAGCTCCAGCAGCAGCTTGTAACCTTTTTCTGCTAGCCTAGCATAGCTCTTTCCACTTGTTAAACCATGGAACGACTTCATGTTATTGTGTCTGCATCCAGCCATGCTTATGGTAAAACAGTTTTCATGGAAGAGTATTTTCATGTATGTCTCAAATACCTGGTTCTCCTAATCCCTGGACATAATAGGATGTCAGGACAGTATGGGCCCCCTTGTGTGAGCTCTGCCACAGTACTTGCCACAGGTAATTAAAATCTTTGTTTTGTGATAGATGTTAGAGTCACATTCCTATAAAACAGAAGTAGGTCCTGTAGCTTGAAGAGCAGTTGCAGTGAGAAAGATTTGAACCTCAGTCTCAAAGCTCTAACTCTAATCAGGAAAGAGGTGCAGTCTCATAGTGAATGGGGAAATAAACATTCTGCTGATCTGAACCAGAATTAAACTGTCTCTCTGCAGTTACCAGAACAGGGAAATCTTAAATACAACCAATACATATCCCAATCTGTGATTCTATTCACACACTCTGCTTTCTATCCAAAGACATCCAGGACCGAAATGGGAAAATTGGGCAGCTTCTGTGGTCTCTGTGCCAGTATCTGGAAAAGATTCAGAGGAGGCTGAATAATGGTTGCATGCCTTTCATATGTAGAAAATGTCATCCTTTTTCAGTCTTTTCAGGATCTCTGCCTCAACAGTTTTTGAGAGTATATGCTAAGTTAGAAGCATAGGGTATTGTGGAGATTCACATCTTTACTGTCAAATGAATGAAGTTCTTAATTCAGTAGTAGATGAGTTGATATTCACAAATCACACAATACATGAAAAATGCATACTCTGTTTGCAAGTCTGTAATATGTGTTTTTAAAGGGTGTGATTTTTAAAATTTTGCAGGGGCCAGATGGCAAGCCAGGTCTACCAGGATTTCCTGTAAGTATTAATTACCTAGGGTTTAAACATATTTCCTAGGATTTTAAAATACTTTTCAAAATAGATTAATATTCTTTAAAATTTATTTGTACACAATTTGCATGAAGTCTAATTTCACATAGGATGCTGCAGGTCTTAGGAAGTTACCAACCAAGTTAGAAATTTATTCTGTTGGAAATTAAGTACACTTCACTAAGCTTATCTCAGTGTCAGTTCTGTAGTTTAAATCTGGGTGTAATTAATGGAAAATTACAACCTAAGGAAAGGTCTATGCCATATAGGAGAAACAAATTGAACAAACGGACTTCTAAATGTTATCTGCGCATATATATGTATATATATATATTTGTAAATGTGTTATTCCTCAGGCTTTTTTTTGTCATCACTACAAAGATGTTCCCTTTTTATTTTATCCTTTAGGAAATATTTATGATTTTTCATAAAAACATACCAGGGCTACCATATAAGCATTTCACAACCACAGTATCAAACGGTGCCTTTTGCTATGCTACCTACCTATTGTGCTCAGTCTGCCATACATGTAAAAACATCTTCATTAACGACTTAGACATGGGACTTGGAGGGATATCAAGTTTCAGATGATACAAAATTGGGAGGAGTTGTTAACTCCCTCCAAGGCAGAAAGAGCCTGCAGAGATACCTACATAAACTGGAAGGCTGAAGGATCACCAGCTGTATCAGCTAGAGATGAGTAGTGACTTAAGAATTGCAGCATGGCATTGCACGGTGAAGGGGGCAGATTCTGTGCCTAGGATGGTCACCCTGGTTGTGCATGTAAACCAGGGAATGACATGCTGGAAAGTGCCAGGGAAAGACACCTAGAGGTCCTGGTTGGTGGCAGGTTGAATATCAGTCAGCAGTGCCCTGGAAGTCAGGAGGGCCAGCTGTGGCCTGAAGGGCATCAGGCACAGCATAACCAGCCAGGCAAGGAAGGAGATTGTCCCACTGTGCTCTGTAATTGGACAGCCTCACCTTGGATGCTGGAGACAGTTTCGGGTGCTGCGATGTAAGAAAGACATTAAACTGTTATAGAGTGTCCAAAGGAGGGCTGTGAAGATAGTGAAGGGCCTTGAAATGAAGCCATGTGAGAAGCAGCTGAGGTCATTTGGCCGGTTCAGCCTGAAGAAGACGAGTCTAAGGGGAGACTTCATTGAAGTCAACAATTTCTTTGTGAGGGGAAGAAAAGGGGCAGGCACTGATCTCTTCTCTGGGGTGACCAGTGACAGGACCTGAGGGAATGGCTTGAAGTTGTGTCAGGTGAGGTTTAGAATATTAGGAAAAGGTTCTTCACCCACAGGTTTGTTGGGCATTGGAACAGGCTCCACAGGGAAATGGTCACAGCACCAAGCCTGACAGAATTCAAGGAGTGTTTAGACATTGCACTCAGGCACATGGCATGACTCTTGGGGTGTCCTGGGCAGAGCCAAGAGTTGGACTTTGATGATCCTTGTAGGTCTCTTCCAATACAGAATATTCTGTGATTCTGTGATTATTTGGCTTATGATTTCAGATAGTATTGTTCTAATTATTGTATTCATATTCTGTGTAGTGTGATGAATTACTTTCCCTTGTTATGATTGTTCTGCAGTTCAGAGCATGCATATGGTCTCAGGATCCTTTGTCTATTGCCTTAGAACAATTAAGCTGAAAACTGGGAAAGCTGACAAAAGATGTTAACAAAATGCTGGCAAATTGCCCAAAATTCTACAGAAGGTTGCTTTCTGAGTCCTGAGTATTGTGGACTGCATGGAAAACCAAAGAAAGGGGAAGAACCTCCTTTAAAGTATATTTCATTTGAAAAAGAGCAGATAACATTTAGAAAGTGATGTAATGAATTTTTGGTTCCTTATAGAATTTCTACAGACATGAAAATACCATTCTTGTTCTCACCTCATGTGTTTTATTTATCTCTTGACAAATGCAGAAATTATGTAGACTTGAGTTTAGATCTTGGTGGGTAAAAAGAATGTTTCTGAATGCTCTTGGAAGATTGTAAAGTACAATCTTATCTGATGGGAATGCTTTCCCCACAAAACAGATAAAGAAATCATCTTGTTTTCAAATACATAAGCTCTATTTCACATGCTCTTTTTTTTCTTTTTTCTTTTTTTTTTTTTTTTTTTTTTTTTTTTTTTTTTTTTTTTTTTTTTTTTTTTTTTTTTTTTATATTTTTTTTTTTATATCTTCAGAAATTTTGTTGAAAATCAGTCTGGCTGAATGATCATGGAGAGAAAGAGGATTAAGTACAGAAGAAATAGCAAATTTTAGGTTGAATTTCCATTTTTATTAATGTTTGCTTATTTCCCTTTGTGAACGTATGTATCATCTACACTGTGATAAACATCAGGATTTTTACATTTTGGTCTTTCTAAAAAATTTCCTTATGTGATATCTGGTTTAGGGAATAACTTTATTCAGAGAGCAATTTAGTCTTGTAAGAATTTTTAGATTCTAACCAGAGTGATTTAAGAAAGTTTGCCAGTAATTTAAAATTACATTTAGTAAAATAACCTAGCTCCCTATTCTTCACAAATATCACTATGGATTTATGTGCTTGTTTTTGTCTAGGGCCCTCGAGGTCCAAAAGGTGACACTGGTTTGCCTGGATCACAAGGACCTAAAGGACAACAGGTAGGAAAAAATGCACAGGGGAAAGTATATGCTGAGAAATGTGTTAGATGACAAGTACTTAATGACATTAAAAGTTTAATGATTCTAATTTTGTTAGGAATTGTGATTTTAATAAGTTCATGTGAAAAATGGACTAGGGAGAATGTGAAAATGCTAAATGGCATCCCCTGATATAATCTCACCAAGAGCTAATCTTCCTGTCCCAGTGCTGAAATTCATCAGCACAGTATGCACTTATCAGGTTAAGTCTCTTTAAACATTAAACATGATGTGACCTCTTCTTGCCAGCTGATTGTTATGCTGACACCCTGGAATCCTATCCAAAAGCAAAAAAAAGATCAATCTGTTCTTCCTCCTATGCCAGAGAGGGCTTTGCCTACAGAATGAAGATTGCAATTTCCAATTCCCAAAGAAAATATAAGATTTGAGGAGTGCTCTTCAAAGATTATTTCCCTTGTTTCTTCACAAGAAGTCTGTATTTTATAGCACTGCTGAGAGGTTTCTAAAGACTGACTCTGCTCTTTTGCAAATACTGTTGCAGCTGTTCCAGTTTTTTCCCCTTCTTATCCACCTTCAGGAAGCAGGGGAGAGGAATATCTAGTATCTTGGGGATACTAAAAAAGAAAAGCAAAACCACTTTCTGCTTATTCTTTCTAAGTAGCTGAGCTCACTTTCTCACAAGTAATAGGAAGACTTGGAAATGGTTAATTATCGTTTAAATGGGATAGCAGATGAACAGCATTATCATTGCTCAGAAGGAAAGATCTCAGGCCACAAATACCAGTCCCTGTTTATCATAAGGTTTCCTGTTCTTTTATAAAATGTGTTAAAAGATCAAGCTCAACCTTAGAACCAGTTGGGTGATTTTTGGTTTAGGTTGTGGAGCTATTTACTTTTGTTTTTTGGTTCATGCTTTTCTTTGCTTCTGGCATCCACTTTGTCAAGAACTCAAAGCTTTGAAAGCATGTAATTTTGGATGCACCAAAAATATAGTGATGTATCTGATGGCGTTTCTGAGCTGTGAACAGCAGGCTATACTCAAAAGTGATGAAGTCTGGGATCCACAGTGAAGCTGTGCAGAAACCTTTACTTAAAGGATCATGGAATTCAACCTCAGGTCCATAAATTCTCACAGAGGATAAAGTCAGTGAAGCCAACCAAGCCTTGGGGAGACTCTAAAGTATCCAAATTATCTTCAGGGAGACTTCAAAGACTCACAATAGTTTAAGAACCTGTGAGAAGAATTTAGTTACAACACTTAAAGTTCATTGAAAGGTTTATAACATGGGCTGTCATTTTAATCGGCAATACAGTTGCTAGCTTCAGGCTAGATTTCTTTCCTGAGATCTTGGGAAAGGTTCTGTAGCAAGCTGCCTGAGATAGGAAAAGTTACAGCTGAAAGATCCATAGTGGGAACCATGCACTTAGCACTGAGAAGTGATAATCCGTGGTGGTATAACAGGAATGCAGAGAGTCACAGTTTGAGTGCTGGGACCTGGCCTTTATTAAAGTTAATGAGATTGCATCATACCAGCCATATAGAGAGAATGATTCATGCTTTCCTGATAATAAAATCTGAATATTTACTGGTCTAGCAAGATGGTGCATTTCCAGCAGGATTTACTGACCATTAAGGTGATGGTACACAAGAAGACACCAGTAACCTGTCTGCCTTTGGCAGAGACCTTTTGTGAACACAGCATGTTTCACATAGTTACTCTATGGAGAGCAAATTATGTGGGTTTTTTTTTATTATTTTTTAGTAAGAACTTCTTAATCTCAGGGAGATATTTTTAGTGTACTTTATTTTTTTTTAGAAAGATCATCTCTCTTCTTCGCCAGAATCAAGATTTACCCTACTCATGCTGATATCACTTTATGTTTGATATCACAGCATGACTAATCTGTCATGCTTCAAACAAAAGTAATGCTGCCCTGACTTCTTTTGATTCACTGGGAATTGCTTTGTAAGCAGTAATTACTCTGATAATTGCAGGGTGAAAAGGGAGAACCAGGAGCTATCATTTCTGCTGATGGATCTTTAACTGAATTATTAGGAAGAAAAGGAGAGAAGGTGAGCTAATACTGTGTTGTGTTCCTCCAGAATTATTTGGTGGCCATGTTACCAGCCACCTCTGCTAGACTTTGTGGGAATTCTCCTTGTCATTGCTCTCTGTGTGTTGGTCCTCAACAGGGTGAAGCTGGAGTGATGGGACCAGTGGGACCAATGGTAAGATGATTCCAAAGAAGAATGATTTCTTATTTTTTAATTTTGCTTTGGCCTTACAGATATTAGTAAATGTAAAGGTAGTATGGTTTAGCTTTTCATTCCTTCTGAGTAGGGATGATAAGGAGAATCCATGCTTCAGGGTCATCAGTGTCCTTCAGAAAAAAATGTGTTTGTTACATATGTGGTAACATATGTAACTACTGCAGAGCTTAAATTCTGGTAGAACAAATGTATCTGTTACTGTCTAAGCCATCAGTGAAATATTGTCAGATGTATGACTCTGAGTGAACTGGGTTTGTTTAGCTCTGAAGATAAAAGACTGAGAGGAGCTCTAATTGCTCCCTGCTGTGTCCTGAAAAGGAATCATTAAAAAAAAAAGTCAGGTCCTTCTCAGAGGTACACAGTAAAAAGAGAAGTAACAAGGATCACAAGTTCCAGCTTGTGACATATATCGATATAAAGGCAAAAATTCACATTAAAAGTGATTAAACAAAGAAATGGGTGTCCAGAGATGTGGATGACAGCCTGGTCAGGGAGAGAGAAATGGCAAGAGTTTCTCACAGTGGCTTGTGAGAATTTTTAGGGAGTTGTAGGAATGTGATAACTTGTTAGTATAAAGAATCTGCAGGTGGTGTTTTTCCACCTTGTTTTTTCTGTTCTTCTCAAGGACGGTGTGAGAAAGATGTTTTATTAACTGGCTAATCAAGTAGAATGTATCGTATCAGTCTATATAAGCTGAAGAATCCTTTGTATTAAAGCTTCCTTTTTTCCTCTTTCCTCTTGTTCTCTCATCTGTTCTTGTGTCATATTTGGAGCAAGGGGACACAGAGAGATGATGGATTCTGGAACAAGGTGTTGAGTGGCATGACCTAACCTACAAGCCTAATGTACAAGTTTGTCTTGTATGCAAGGGGTTTTGCAAGAGGGTGACACTCTTTCCACCTTAATTATTCTCTGTTTGTATGATTTACATTAAAACAACTAATTGCATTGGCTCAATTTCTGTCAATGCCAATAAATTGCAACTGTGTTGGATTCTGAGAAAGTTGTACACCAGGCAGTAGAGTAAGACCATGTACCAAAATCAGGATTTAGAGGCCTGCTTTCAAGTATTTGGTCTGATACTTTTGACTGGATATGGGAGGTTGTAAGAAAGCACAATAAATTAGTTATAAAATAAGAACAGTGGCCCAGACTCAGCAGTGTTAGGGCACCAATTTCTTCTGTCTAGTATTCAAAAAATCAAGGATGTAAAGGATGTTTCTTTGCTTCTGCTTTTGATGTATCCTGGTGACTGTTATGGCTTAGTGAATGTTAGTAGAGTGCTGACATTTCTGTACATGAAGGTGTGTAGGAGATTTTTACATTCATTTCTGTAGCTTTCCAAGGGGGATAACTGGGTGCTGAAGAACTGCTTTTTAAATTATTGTGTATCAGAATCCCTGAGGAGGCTATCCTAACTTACCAGAAAGGATGTTCCTTATCCTTCTCCTTGTATGACTGCAAGATTATCTACCCTTTCAACTTGACACAATAACTTTGAATAAAAGCGGACTTCAGAGATGACCTTATGCACGTCACTGTGTGGAGCAGGTCTCTTTAATTCAGGAACTTATCAAGTGAAGTTTTCAACAACTCTTAGGATAGAAATTCCACAACCTTTCTGGGCAGCCCATTCCAGACATATGAAAAACTTTGGAGTAAAAAAAAAATTTGCTTATATTTATTTGGAATTCCTCATGTTCTGGCTTGCGTTCACTGCTACTTGCTGTGCATCCTGCATCCAGCGGACATGTCCTTTTCCTCTCAGCCCCAAACTCTGTGTTTTACATCTTCTTTTATACTGCCATGAGTTGCATCATACAGTTCAGCAAGTAGATAAGGAAGGTCTTGCCAGCACTGGTGGGAATGGTTACACTTCAGGAAAGTTTGGCACATGGAGCCTGTCTCAAGGCTTTGCTCAGCCAGTTCTCTTCTGAGCACAGAACTCCTCTTTGATCATTGCTGGTAATGGGGTGATACAATTTGGTGTTGTTCCATAGGAAAAAAATCCATCTGTACTTAATGTGAGGCCTGTACAGCAAAAATATACATCTTCAAGTGCTGCACCAGAAACTCTGACAGATAACTTGTTAAAGGTTTTAGTGCAATGGTTCTGTTCCACTTTGCTCCAAGTGAGTCTCTGGCCCAGGAACAACTTTGAGGTAGCAGGGTAATCTGATTGCTCCTCTTTGCTCTTAGACCCATACACAAATTTCCAGAATTTAAGATCAAATCCCTAGTCATTGCTCTGCTCCTTTTTGAGACTTCAGATGAGCAGACAGTAGGATCACAGGAGCTTGGAGCACAAGGAGCTACAACGAAGCAGTAGTTTGGCAGATGGGAACTAGAGATAGTCAGGAGGTCAGTACAGTTGTTAGCAAAAGCAGAAGCAACAGACTGAACCCAGGCTCCTGCCACCGGAGAAATGAGAATCTTTTATATGCTGGATTATGCTGTTCCCTGTCGGTGAAGCACTTAGTAAGAACCTCAGTGTCAGTCTGCCCAGATCTACTGTGCTGTTGTAATTGAAACTTCGGTGGTAAGAAAAACTCCTGTGGCTTCCATGCTTCCTTCTTTTACTTCTAGCTGTGATGGCTGGTTTGTCCCAGGGAGTTGCTAACACCTGACAGACTGGGCTGGTACTTAGAGGAAATAGTAAAAGTGGCCCCAGTTTACACAACTCTCACATTGTTAATGTTTGAAATCCCAGTTAAACCATGGGATCAGACACGGCTTTTTATTTAAACTGAAAAAGAAGTCTGTTTCTAATTGTCCTCACTGCTGAATAAAGTTCAGATTTACATAATCTTTAAAGGCTCAGGTACCAGAGAATGGTAGGAAAATAGGAAAATGGTTTTGGATTGCTTTTTTTTTTAAGATTGTGGATTGCTTTTTTTTTCCCCAAACATCATTACTGGATATGATATCATGGAAAGGTGAGTTGAATTTTGAAATTTTGGGGCACAATATTGAAATTCACCAGCAATCTTTTGCCTTCTTGAGACATGGATATTAACTTTGATCACATGGGTAGAAATTGCCTTCAAACAGAAAATAAAATAGAAGATTAATAAAAGTCTTACCACCTGCAAGTCGTTTCAGCTGACAATAAATTCAGCTTTAAATTCTGATTACAATGGTGACATTATAAATGAATATGTTCATATGGTAACTGCTTATGAATTTCAGGTCTAATCCAGTCTTCAGTTTCAGCAGGAGAAAAATTACAACAATTAATCCATTAATTTCAGCTAGATTATAAGAGAAACTGTCTTTTTCATCAGATAAATTTTTCATTAATGTACATATCACTTTTCACTGAAAAGATATCATGTGAAGGGTTAAACACACCCACTATCACATGTAAGTGGTATCTGTGTGAGATCTACAGACAGATTATTTAACAAGTAATGCAAGAAGGAGTATCTCAGCATTTCAGCAGACTGAAAAAAGGAAATGAAACCAGATAGGCTGACACAAATGTGAAGAGGTTGTCTAGACCCTTGTGGTTTCTGTGAGTTTCAGAAAGCTGACATAAGTTGAAAGTTTGTAGATCCTCAGATTTGCTGCTTTTTGTTGATCACTCACAGGCTGCCTAGGAGCTGCATGCTTTCAAATGCCCCATCATAGGCCATCCATAGTCTTGGGCCACCTTTCCCAGGCAGCCTGCTTGTCCCCTCTTTTTCCAGTGGCTTGTATTACTTTGTGGAGCCTGCTGAGTCAGTCAAACTTGTATAAAGAAGGAAAGAGTCTGTTTCAACTATCAGCCCCATGAATCCACAAACCCAGGCTGGTGAGAGGCATGTAGAAGCCTGGTACTGCATGAATTCTTAGGCCAATCCACAGATACTTCCTCACAGAGCCTGATTCAAAAATAATTAGAAATAAAAAAGGAGGGGGGGAAGAAGATGAGCAAAGAATACATCTCTAACTTCATTTTCTTTTCCTGACTGATGCATTTAATTTTTCTTCAATACATGGTGAATCAGTTTTGAATTGCACACCCTACAAGGGTCTGGGAATGCAGACTTCATTTCAGATAGGTGACTGTAACATGTAGCCCTCAGCTTCTGAGATCACTCAGGAGAGCAAGCAGAGACAGTGTTCTGTGCAGTCTCTATAGGCAGTCACAGACAGATTTTTAATGTACTGTTTCTTATTCTAAGTAATCAAATATAGGTCAACAAAATGGGTCATAATGACTTTTTTTGTTGTTCAGGGACCAATAGGACCTACTGGACCCAAAGGAGAGCTTGGCTTCCCAGGACGCCCAGTATGTATTATACTCTCAAGTGAGATAAAGATAGGAAAGCTTGCTTCTGACACGTACTAAATTATTTCTATTTATTTCAGGGCCGTCCAGGACTGAATGGTCTGAGAGGTGTGAAAGGTGATCGAGGTGAAGCACTTAATGTAAGTTTATTGTATTTCAATTAGTTGAAAAATAAAATCTGTTAAAATCTGAAGTCTGATTTATATTGATTATTTTCAAATTATGATAGGACTAAAAACCTGAGATGTTCTAAAAATAGTTGTGTTTCTGCTACTTTTCCTATCTAGCAGCAGTCATTGAAAAGTCATCTTCTTGGTCTGTCTGGGCAGTTCTTGCAGATACACATAGTTGTGTCAGCTCCCAGGTGCAACAGTTATGTGTGCCACTCACTGCTACCATAGCAGCTTCAAATAACAAAGGATTTGGAATTCCAGTTTTTTTATATATGTCAAAGACTTCCTGATCCAGGCCACCAGTGTGACTTCTCATGATGTGAAGATACTCCCACAGGTTCTGACCTTTCTAGCCCAGGTACAAACAACACTTGAGCATATCACAGGGAAGTGGTATCTACCTTACCAACAAGGAGATACTCACTAATACCTGCTACCTGCTATGCTTGCCATGTACATGTATCCAAAACAATGACCTCTGCACAGAGGACAGCATATTCATGCTCACCTACAACCTGTAATTGTGGAATGACAAGTGATGAACCAAGCTCCTGTTGTTGTAAGTCTGCCCTCATTAAAAGATTTCAGACAAGTTATCTCATGACAAACATTGAAACTGGCCCACACAAGAACTAGCACTGCAATAAGCTTCACAACAGCAGAGTCATTTGTGTGGTTGTTCTGATGTCATGCAACTATCTGTGCTAAGAAAATGGGTACCCATACCACAACAGCAGCTAATGCTATTTCATCTGCATCAGAGATAATGCTAGAAAAAATTTACAACGGTATGTTACTATTTTAGCATAAAGTCAGTATCACTGTATTTCAGTAGAGAACTTTTTTGTAAATGGATTCTGTTATAGAAAGCCTCTGGTTCTAGTTTTTTCAAAAAAAAAAAAAACAGCACACAAATTGCAAGGCACAAGTGTCTTTTCTTTCTAGACAATAAATATAAGTGAGATGATACTGCTTTATGTGAGTAACAGGGAGACTGAGAATTGGTAGGTATTTTTGCAGAATTTGTAAGTATTTTGGTATCTCCACAGTAAAAAAAGACCAGATACTGAATGTGGCTTACACCCCTAGAAGAAGGTATAAATAGAAACATAGTTCCTGGAAAGTGAAAACAAGTTAGACAAATGCGAATTGGAAGAAAATGACAGGAAAAATTACTACCCATTGACAGAAAATATAAGAATAGATTTTCCTTTCCTCCATATCTTCAAATAATATTAAAGTTCATTTTCTGGATTGTCTGCCTTAACCACACAAAAGATATTATAGCAATATAGCTAGATGATGTACACCAGGCTGACAGGTTAAAGCAAACAAGCAAACAAAAGAGGCTTCATGTTCTAGTAGTCCTTCCTGGAGTGCTCAGGGAAGATAAAATCTCATGGATCTCTAATTTTTGATGAGATTACATATGTCACCATACAGAAAGTTGCATTGATGTGAACTGAAAGGTGAAAACAGCCTTGTGCCAAGTTTTCAAATTACACAGTTAAGAGCTGACATGCATTTTTTGTAAAAGGCAGTCACGCCTCCAGTCTACCAGGGTTCCACATGGTTGCTAATTAGCATGTACATATCTGACTGGCACTTGAAAATGTATGAATCTTAGCAGTTTTGAGAGATCTAGATCAGTGTCAAATACCTAATTTTCCTTGGATGAGAGATATACTGACATTAGTTTCAATATTCAGTGCTTTAGGTGTTCCAGTTTGCAGTCGGGGTTTATTTTTTGTCTACTATCTTCCTTCTTTCACTTTCTCTTTCCAGGGTCTTCCTGGCTTGCCTGGACCCCCAGGGCCCCCCGGACCTCCAGGACGTATTCTTTTTATCAAAGGAGTAAGTGCAACTGGGGATCAGTGACTGGTTTGTAGCAGAAATGTGCTGCTCTAGAAGCAGTCTGCAAAAGGAAACATCAAAACTGGTTTCAGTCTACACCGCTCATTGTGGATGACCTTGTTTGTGTGCAGAGAAAAAAGATCTCTTAACCAAAGCCAGTGTCAGGGAAGAGTTTTGTCCCCACGGCCCCACAGAGAGGGATGACAGATCTGGCAGCCAGCTGGGCTTTCTTCTAGGGAGGTGGTGGTTTTGTTTCCAGGCTTAGCCCCATCATGACTGCTAGGTTTATATGGTGTGTTACATGCTGTATCATACCTATGCTCATTAAAGTAATTTCCCTCCTGTTTTCAATAGACAGTTTTCCCAGTCCCTCCCAGGCCTCATTGCAAAATGCCAGTAAGTGACACATGCAGAATCTGCTCTTAGCAGGATGCATGGCCATAACAGAACATAACCAAAGCAGCTGTACACCTAAACACCATAACCTTGCAGCTTTTCTCCCCCTGCCTTCTGCTTTGCACCAGAGATGTGTTTTACTTGTTCCTCAGGATAATAGATTTTCAAGTGTTTAGCCATTTATGAAAACTTAGCCATGTATAAAATATATAACAGAACGAAAAACACTGGACTCTTTTGCTTAAAGTACTTGATTGCTTGTTTTTCTAATACTTTCAATGCCTTTCAAAGCTTGTGTTTCCATAGTTTAGGAGTTGCTTTGGGGACCTGAATGTGTATGCATACAGGTACATGTATTTTTAGTTATATGTATAGATACAGTCCCCATGTTGTTATGTCCTTAGCTGTTTTTCATTTCCCTGGCCAAAATAACATTTGTTATGTGTTTCATTGTGGCATGAAAAATGCATCAGAAAAGAGAGATCATGTTCTTTATTTGACCCTCAAATGCACTGTTCACATAGAATTGCAGCCAGTGAAGATCTGCCCCTCCTTTTCAAAGAGTATGACAAAGCCTTCAAAGCACCTGCAGTTTCACACATAGTATGAAAAGAAAGGAGATGGGTTTCATATTTTCAGAATATGAAAATATAAAAATTCAATTTTTGTTTAATGAATTACAGAAATTGCATCCTAGAATGAATGGTGAGTATAGTTCCGTCCTGGAAATATTTTCCCTAGGGCAATATCCAACTGTGGCATATGTACTTGGAAAGGATTCTGTCTTTGGGAGCCACAGTCCACCTCTGAATAGTGTAGGGTTATACTTTTCTGTTAAACAGTATAGCTCCAAGTAATACTGTGCTTTCTCCTCCAATTTGCATTCCAGTTCTTTTTCGCTGATTTTAGAGAAACAGCTCTTGACTTCCTCTACACGAAATTTATTGATACTCATCATCACCCTAACCTTACTGCTGAAAAAAGTTGTATCCCAACTTGTGATCTTTTCAGAGAATTAATGATAAATAGCCATACCAATTACCATAAATAAATATGGTAATTTTCCATTTCTACATTTTTTGCCTACCACCTCCACACATCATTTTTTTACCTCTGAATTTCTCCCTTAAATCTTCTCACTCCCATTGTATAACATTGTAGTACAGTGATAACATATGTCCATAATCACATACGTATTTGTCAGCCTCACTTCTGAAACCTGACTGGATGAGGCCCTGAACAGCCTGCTGTAGTTGATCCTCCTTCAGGGTAGACAACCTCCAGAGATGCCTTCCAGCCTCAACTCTCCTCTGATTCTCTGTGGAATGATTCAGATAAAACAAGCCTATTTTCTCTGAATTTCAGCTAATAATAGCCACTTTTCCAGAAGGTTACCATCAGTGAAAAATAGCACTAACTTTAATGTGCACAAGTAAAAACATGTACTTGTAAACATCTCTTCATGCATCTGAGTGTGCTGGATAGATTTGTCCTACATCTGTGAGTAATCTCCTAAACCTATCCAAGTTCATAGATAAGAAGTCTGCTGTTCATGCCTACATAAATGAGTGCCGATAAAGAACTACAGACTGAAGCCCTCCAGTTTTTCTTCATGGGCACTGAACTTCTGAAGTTAATGGAGCTATCCATGTGAGTAAGACTTCTGTGGGCTAGTACTACAGGATTAGCCAGATGCAGCAACTTCCATTTTTTCATACACTTACTTAGTTTCCTATAAAGAGTACTAGAAAGTACCGAGATTTCCAAGCCTTGTGCTACATTTCAGTTCCTACATTGTCCCTGTTTTGAAGACAGGCACAGAGGTAGGTAGCATGCCCACTGTTGTTACAGGTAGCTGGTGACAGAATAGGGTAGACTAGAATAGCTTCTGTCTCCCCACTGTGGTTTCAATGCATTTGAAGCACAGGTTAACATCAGACATAACATAGCCCTAGTCTGATTAAGAGTATTATAAACACAAGCTGTTATCTCAGGATCAAAAATCAAATTCTGCTTCCAAACACAGTATTGTAAATTCAGAATTGTTCTTGGAGAATGAGTTTTCTGATGCTTCACTGGCACAACTGAGAGTAGGATTTGCTGATGTCCCCAAAATGCATGATATTACCCTTTTGCTGAAAGCATGCTGCATGTCAAAGAGTGTGTAATCCTCATAAAAATTTGATCAGCTAATACTCAGACCCTGTCAAAGTGGAAATAATCCCAGAGTGTTGTTATAATATTTACTAGCATGCAAACTTGCCAGGCTTTTCAGTCACGTCGCACTAAGAAATGCATTGCCATTGATTAATATGTATGGATAATTTGTAATGGATTTTTTCATCTGAAGGTGAGCCCTCCCTATACTGGAAATCAAGAAGTTCTTAATAACCATGGTGGGTAATTCTTTTCTTCTACCTTGGTTTAAATAAGTTATTTTATTTTTTTTTTTTTGAAGGGAAGGGAAGGGAAGGGAAGGGAAGGGAAGGGAAGGGAAGGGAAGGGAAGGGAAGGGGAGATGTAGTATGCAACACTCATTCGTAATTGAGAACTGTTTCTGCATCTCCTCCAGTGAAATTCACAAATGGAAAAATAGAACCAGAGGATCTTAGGCTGGGTGGTTAGGGAAAAGGGAGTAAAAGATTGACTTGTGAGAGAGAGATTGTCTTGCACATGTTGGGGTTGATAAGAGAAGACAGTCAGACAGCCATTCAAAGATCATGAGTGACAGAAGCATGGAGGGACAGGAACCATGTGTCCCACATACATGGAAAAGTCTGCACCCACTTTCAGTGTTTGGTTTTCACTGCTACAGTCTCTGCTGTTTTCAAGTTCTTATGAACTTGTGATGCTATTGTGGCAGGCGGCAAAACAAATGGAGATTCCTGGGAACTGCACAGTTCAGCACACTTAAAGGGAGAAAAGGGAGACAGAGGTGCTCCAGGACCACCAGGTATACTAAATCTGTCATTAACATCCTGTGGAGGAATATATGTCTAACTTGAAAAGCAATTCAGCAAGATACTTGGACAGTTATCTCTGCTGCCTTACCTGCCTAGAGATTTACTCCATGTTCATTGATGAACTGACACAGAGAACAGCAAAGCTCGGAATGTTACCCAAAATGTCTTCTGAAAAGACAGACTGCACATTTGTGAGCATTATGAATGTGTTAAGTACAAGAATAGATATTTAAATGTAAGTGGCTGGTCACAGATTTTTTTTTACATTTTAGAAGGACATCTAGGGCACTTCCTGAGATTCATTTTGTTGTCAGTCTTTCTGAGTCAATTGCGCTATCAATCCAGTACTTCATATTTCAGGGTAATACACCTGTGCATTATGAGTTCAAGGCAGTCAGATGTTGCTGACAGTCCCACTTCTAACAGGAGGGGGAAATAGATTATTTCCATTTCAACCAATTTTTAAATATTTTCTGGTTTATTTGTGAAAATCTTGAAGCATCTGTGTGCACTAAAGTACCAATTCACTGGCAGTAGGAGCATCATAAGAATTATTCCTCACCCAAGGACTAGCTTTCTGTGTCAAAAAGTTGATACACATTGCTAATTCTTACAAATCCAAAAAGAGTTACAGAAAGAAGCATCTGTTTGAAAATATTGTAAATACAAACAATTAATTCTCTGTAAACTCTTTGAAAGCTCATTTATTGAGATAAGGCTTTGATCAGTGAGAGAAATAATTTGAAAAATAAAAGGCATTATATTGAATTGGTGTTGCTATGCCATATTTATAGTAATTTTCCTTTAATGCATTGATAATAACTATATTCTCCCCATATATGTTGATCTCACTAGATCAACATGGATATTTCTGTTTTTGTTCTAAAGACATAATTCTGCTGACTAAAGATGATGTTTTAATTATTTTGAAGACAACATCTGTTTATTGTGATAAAATCAATTTCCTGTCTTGTCCTCATTAATTTTTATTCTGATCCAATATTTTAAAATAAGCAGTTAGCAATTTCCAGTCATCAATAAACTTGTCAAAAGAATAAAAAAGAAACTTTCCCAAACAAAAAATAAAATTTTCTCTTCAGTGCTGGCTTATCCACCACAAATATATCTGTTCATTTCCAGGTTCTGTACTGAATGCAAATTATTATCTTAGAAGTACTTTCTTGCCTATATCTGATGATTTCAGGTGCTTCATAAAAAGATTATGAGAGGATTGTTCTTAAGATTTTGCTGTAAAACTGCAGCTAGTAAAGAATGGGGAAAATAACACCACAATTCTGATTAAACTGAAAACTCAATTCATTTTTCTCCTAAAATAACAGAGATCTATTCATTTGATACAACAGATCAACTGGCTCCAACATTTTGTTCAACATGAAGTTGAAGCATGCTAACTAAGACCAATTCTGTTGCTGCTTTTAAAAATATTCCTATTTGGTTTTTTGCTTAATGACGTAGTTGCTAAAATATTATTTCATACAAAGCAGTTCTCTAATTCTTACCGGTGCCCACATAACCACAGACAGGGAAAATCTACAAACCAGTAGTTTCATAATTAAACTACAGGAAATTTTCTGAGGGGAAAGTGGATGAAACTCTTTCCACTACATTTGTTGGGTTCCAGGAACCAGAAAAGCTTTTTGAACTGTGGCATTTGTAGTTGCATGCAGTGGATTTATTTTCTGCTTCTCACAAAATGTTACCTCTCCAATCTTATAAACAGGTTCTATTGATTGATAACATGTTAAAATATGAAGCCAACACAAAAAGTGTGAGAGCAAACTCAACAGCCATGGGCTTCATTCAGACCTAGACTCCTTGATGGTCATCCTAGAAAGACCTCAGATATAGTGCTCACTGTAGAGATTAATACTAAGCAACATCTGAGAAGGACACCTGCCATTCCACCTGTCCATTCCCTTCCCCTCACAAGGATCAAGCAGATCACTACTGCAAGCTGTAATTGATAAGGCTGGAATAAAATCCAAACAGGGGCCATAATGAGAATACTTTTTGGCCCCACAATGTCTGCTTGATTTAACTTTATCTGAGGTGGCACACTGGGAAATGAGCCCTATGGCTGGCAGAGGGTTGGGCTCAAGAATCTCAAAAATTAATCAAAACACATTTGAAGAAAATGCACTGAACTGTTATGGGAAGCTGCAAAATACGTTGGTTTGTTTTTTTTTTTTTTTCCCCAAATAGATACCAAGCAGATAACATCTGAAGGCTTTTCGAACCTTTTGTGCTGGCTTGACAGCTTTGGCTGACCAACATTGGCAGAAAACACGAGTGGTATAACCATTGAATCTGATATTGGTTTTCATTGCAGAAGAATGTCAAGGAAGAGTTATTGTATAATTGTTGCAGCACAGCAGCAGCACTACCTATTTCTCTTGTCAGTTCTGGTACTTGTTTTTGCAGGAAAGATCACACATCTACTGATGGATCACTCCACTACCAGCAAAACATATGAAAAGCTTCTATTTTACCTTGGCTTGCATCAAAGGGGTTAACATGGATACTTCTCTTTCACTCCTCTTTCCAGCTGCTGTATTTTCAGAAAACTGGGAATTTTTCATATTTGAGCCTTCTTTGCTTCTAATTTTTCTGAAATCCCAATCAGATTCAGAAATTTTTAAGGTGGAAGAGTGACAGACAAGGCACAGACAAGATAGGCTGTATAAGTCTTGCTTTATTAGGAAACCAAACTAAAAATATGTTTGATATAAAGGTTAATGCCATTATTGTAAATAGTTTTCCTTTGAACTCCTAAACCAGTAATACCAAAAGCAATACTTTTAAAAGGAAAATTACAGTTAATTATTGTACTATATTGTATTGTCTTCATTTTTCAGGTCCACCTCTGCCTCCATCATATTTCAGCCATTTTATTAATAGCATAAAGGTAATTATATCCCATTTGTGTTTGAGTTCTGCTAAGCTTTTTTTAAAGTGTACTTTACTATAAATAAAGCACAAACCAATGCAACATGGTGAAATATACAAATATAAGGGTATCAGCAATTACAAATTATATTCATTTCTTAAACTCCAGCTACATAGGCAAGTTTATAGCAACTATAGAGATAGCAGTCATCAGAGGTCTATAAAGATTACTTTTGAAAGAAACTTCATTACTGAGGCTTTTTACCTTCCCAGTGGTATTAAAGTGAGTCATAATTCACTGTTACCTAACATATCTGCATTAAATGAATGCTTTTGTTTCCATGCCAGCTCAGGTAAAAGACATCCATTACCTAAAGGGCTTCTAGAACACTGGGTGAGGGGAAAAGGGGGTGGAAATCACTTCCATGTCATGTTATTTCTCTTTTAAGCACACTGAATAGAATTAAATTATGGAAACTACTTTTCCTGGAAGCTCTTACAGCAAAGTATACCCATACATTGATTTGTTTAGTCTCTCTCTGTTTCATTATTTCCTTGACTGCTTCAAGTGACAAAAATTAATAAAAATATGATATTATTTTAAATGTTTTTATGTGAATAGGACTCTATCAATAGAACAACTGAAAAAATGTGAATCAAATTATCATTTAATGATACTACCAAAAGTGTTGTGCTGACAGTGTCTTGGAAGAACTCTTAATGCTGCCTGGTTTTAGGATTTTATTTCTGCTTGGCTGAGTACACCAAAGTTATTCCTATGGCATAAAGTGTCCCATGTATGTGGCAAAGCCAATAGGATTTCTTTGACCTTACAGTGTAATGTATGTAGCTTTACAGATTTAGCTGCCAATAACTCATTTTTTGTCTAGTCCTTCCACTCCCCAAAATGGCCTGGAATAAAGAAGCTTTTTGCATCATGTTTACTGGGAATCTACAAAGACTAAAAGACAGAAGAGGAACTATAAATAGCCATGTCCTCTGGCTGCCTGCAGATATCTGCCATTCTGGCTTTGCCCTTTGCCTCTTCTATCCACAGGTTTATTTCTCAGAAACATGAAAAAACTCAACCAAAAAAAAAAAAAAAAAATGAAGGGGGAAAAAAAGCAGGCAGAAAAAAATAATGTGGGAGGAATGCATAAATGCTGTGGCTCATCTTGGACAGAGACATAATAATGTAGTAATTAAATGCTGCTTCTTACCTATTGCTCTGTTTCCCAAACTGATGTTCAGCCATGCAAAACAGAAGACATACTGTTTCAAGTGTTTGCAATTTTGTGTAGGGTCTCTTCTGTTATCCCTATACACACTCCTACCCTCCTCTGCTCACTTTGTTACATACTTTCAAATAGCTGTCCATTCAATGTCAATCTTGCTTTGGTTTCTCCTTGGTGAAGGAGGAAAGCACAAAGCCAGGCTTTTATGCTTCCTCCAGCTCTCTCTTCACCTCCAGCTACAGCAGTGAACAAGGTTTTGCTGGACGGAATAGCAGGAAATAGCAACAGAGGCAGTTTCTCTGCCTCCACCAAACCTCACCTCCCCTAGCCCTTGCCCTGAGTGAGCCTTGCAGCCCCAATAGAGAAAGCATTCCTTTTCATCCCATATCACAGAAGAAGAAGAAAGTTATGTTTAAAACATTTCAAGCAGGTGCTCTCCTTTACCTTTTCCTTTATAAACTCAGAGATTTCATGTAAATATAAAAGCTCAGTGCATTGTGCTCTGGTCTCACTTCAGCTCAACATTTTAAAATACATTTTCTTCAAAGGGTGAAAAAGGAGACAATGGAGTCACCGGTGTAAAAGGAGAAAAAGGAGAACCAAATGGAGGGTTTTTTCTGACAGGACCTCCTGGACCACCTGGAAGACCAGGATTAATTGTAAGTCATGCAGGTTGTAGAATGGGAATATTTATGACTACCCATTTAGAATTAGTTTAGAAGGCACTAAAAAGAGACAAACATCAGGATTGCTAGGAACGATACAAAAATTTACATGCTAAGCATTAAGTGAATAGGAAAAAATTGCATTAAGTGTAAACAGAGACACTTCACTGTTGTGCATAGAATTACTTTGCTATGAAATACTGACATAATATTGTGCTCAGCTGTCTCATATAGCTACACCAGTATCTAGATCATGCTATTAACAGCATTACAAATCAAAGCAGCATGTATAATTTGTGACACTACTACTTATACTCCTGTAAATACCAAAATAGGCCATATAAAGTTAGTCAGAAGCTGACTTGAAAATTAGTGGCCATCTAAATAATTAATCCTGTTTTCCTAGTAATCAGAAAAATATGACTGAAAAGACCAGTGTGTAGCTATCTGGACTATTTCCATAAAATTTAGCCTGTCTTCTGTCTACCTTTTAATTTTATCTTCTGGCAATTGCCACCACAGCTGCTTTGGAATAAAATGCACCAGTTCTTTAGAAGCTAGTTTATCCCTGGGATCTGGCAACAAATAAATTAATTGCATTCCTCTATTGCCATATCTGTGTCAAGAGCCTGAATGAATGGGCCACAGCTGAGGATGAAGTGTTAGGTTAGCAAGACCATCTTTAAAAGTCCCTCTGGTTCTATTCCACATTGCTGAGAACTGCTTCCCTGCTTAGAAACTGTTCTACTGGCACAGCTGAGCTGTCCTTGTCCTGGGTCCAATGTGTTCCATGTCTGCAGATTGGTGTGAGCACAGGGAGCAGAAGTCTTCCTCACTCAGGCTGAGGACTCACTGCTAAACTGGAAATGAAGGGAGTTGTGTGTTTTTATTCTGCAAGTCTGGAAGCTGAAGAGGTTAAAGGCTAACATTTGATCACAGGAGGGAGAAGATAGCACTCATCATGAGGTGTACACCTTGCATAGACACACTTTACATTAAAGTTTTCCACAAACTCTCTGAGCCCATCAAAGCAAGCAGTCTCAGCATGAGCAGAGTAGAGATCCAGGACTTTGAGAGCACTGCTGAGAGTTTTGCAGGTATCAGCTGCTCGGGGATACATATGAGAATTTTCAGAAAGCTTTCTGAATTTAAATCCTTGACTTTATTTCGATATGTGGTTAAAATTTTCATTTTCCATTATACCCATGCTTCCTTGGAGAAAATTACATACAGACTCATGTCTAAATGGCTGTGTAGTGGCAGGCACCTGGTAAATGTTGCCACCAGAGATGATGGCCCTGCAGCAGTGAAATCAATACATTCAAGGAAATTATTTTCATCACTGACAGGGACCAAAAGGGGACTCAGTTGTTGGGCCCAGAGGACCTCCAGGATTACCTGGACTACCTGGCTTACCAGGTTATGGAAAAATTGGACCTCCTGGCCCACCTGGACCACCTGGACCACCAGGCCCCCCTGCAATATATGGCTCAGGTGAGCTTTTCAGTGCATATGCAAGTGTACAGCTACATGCCCACAACCCACACATGACCAATTTTTCATACCTGCCCACCCTCTCTGCATACCTGAATCAGGTTGTTCCCTGCTCTCCTCCTGCCCTCCACCAATTTCTCCTAGGTGAGGAGTTGGAACTAAGAGCACAAAAGGGACCATTTCTCTGCAGACAGTTTTCACTGACTAGTGCCATGGAAGTGCTGTTGCATGAAGGATCTTGCTGTGGTTGTGGCTGGGAGGAAATCTATTTAGTAGAGATAGGTTACCTTGACAGCTTTGCAAAATCCATCAAATTGATCAGCTGGCAAAATCTGGGACAAAACACTCTTCTTGTGGGGAATAGAATTAAATCCAGCTGGTGGCCAACATAGGGGGTTTTTCCCAGGGCTCAGTATTGAGTCCAGACCTATCAAATATCAATTATCTGTTCAGGGGATCAAATGTACACTTTAGTGAGTTTGCCCCCAGACTGGGCGGGAAGTTTCTACAGATGGGTCTGGACAGTCTGAACCAATGGTCCAAGGTCAACTCTGTGAGGGTCAGTGAGGCCAAGTGCCAGGTCCTGCATTTGCATTTGTGTCACAACTCCATGCAGAGTGGCTGGAAAGCTGCCCAGCAGAAAAGGACCTGAGGGTGCTGGTTGGCTGTTGCTGAACATGAGCCAGCAATGCCCAGGTGGCCAAGAAGACCAAGGGCATCCTGGCCTGTATGTGAATAATGTGGCCAGCAGGACCAGTGCAGTGATTGTCCCACTGTACTCAGCACTGGTGAGGCCCCAACTCAAATTCTGTGCTCAGTTTTGAGCCCCTCATGACAAGAATGCAGCACATTGAGGTGCTGGAGAAGGGAGTCAAGCTGGGGAAGGGTCTGGAGCACAAGTCCTGTGAAGAGCAGCTGAGGTAGCTGGGGGTATTTAGCCTGGAGCAAAGGAGGTTCAGGGGTGACCTTATCACTCGCCACAAATGCCTGAAAGGTGGGTGTATCCAGGAGGGGCAGTATCTTCTCCCAGATTACAAGCAACAGGACAAGAGGAAATGGCCCCAGGTTGTACCAGGGGAGGTTTAAATTGGATATTAGGAAATTTTTTTTCACCTAAAGGATTGCCACTGGGACAGGCTGCCCAGGGAAGTGGTTGAGTCACCATCTCTGGAAGTGTAACTGTGGGACAGGTAACTTAGAGACGTGTTAGTAGCAGACTTTGCAGTTCTGGGTGCTGCCGGTGGAGGTGATGATCTTAAGGGTCTTTTGTAGCCCAAGTGCTTCTCTAATTTTCTGGTGAAAAGTCAGTACTCACAGTAGAGTTTAGGTCTAGAATCAGACTTCTGGAGAACTGGTTCTAAAAACTAGTTTCTATGCAAATGTTGAATAGAAATGAAACTTCAGATTGCTTACTCTGCCTCTAATGGTTTTCAACTTATGAGTTAGAAAAGAAGCAAAATGTGCCACAATTAGTCGCATCAAGAGAGATGACATAAAAGGGAGTATGTAGTTAGAAATTAGGTGTCAGAGTTCAAGACATTTATGCTTTTGACTCCTTTTGGGCCACAGGTTTCCTAGTGACAAGCCTCATACTGTTAATGTCCAGCCCTGGGTTCTGATGGATGGGGTCCTGGGCTCCTCTGACATTACTTGATAGGTATGTCTGAGAAAATGACCGATTCCTCTGTCTAGAATCTGTGACCAGCATGGGAATCCAGCCAGGTAAAACCAGAGCAGGGCATTCCTTAATCTCAGCTGAAGATGGTGTACTAATAGAAAGGGAGACATTACCTGAATAGAGATGCTGTAACAGGGATCTGTTCTTCCTAAAGTTTTGACAGGTCTAGCAAAAACAGGATCTCCATTCATGAGAACAAACAATTAGCCTGTTTTTCCACAACACCTATGCTTCCAGTATGCTAATTTGACGTATCTCTCTTCAATTTTTTCTCTCTGGGTATTTCTTGAACCTGACCAGGCCTCATTTACACAGCAGGTGAGACTTCTGTTCTGTCATCCTGTCAATATTTTAATTTAGTGTCTATCAGAAGTGTTCATCCTCTGAATAATATTTGAGAAAGAAAAAATCCTTAAAATGGTCAACATTGGAACATAGGCTTTATGTGAACCGGTCCTTGACCATCAAGATACAGACAGATCTGCAGCATCCATGAGGCACATAAAGGTCTTCAGGCCTTTTCCTGTGTAATTTAGATTAAGTACTTCTGGATATTAGCTAAGAGACCCAGTCGGACAAAACAAATCATTATTAGTATTCCATCCCTATATTTTAATTTATGCTCTCTGCCATTAGTCTTCATCATCCTCCTACACATTTTCCTCTTTGCTTTGTAAAAAGGTTCTTTAGGCAGCACAGATTTTACTAAATGTTTGGAACAGATGTTTTTCCCTATCTTCGAGGTTCAGTTATCTCTTTTAAAGCTATTACTACCTGTAATTATGGAGTTCACATACTGTAGTACTGAGTTCACATACACAATATGGGGAAAGAGGAATAGCTTATCTGAAGGTAAATAGCTATCAACACTTCTGAGAGCTGACGTCCTTCCCCTGCCATTGGCATGAAGGACCTGCTCCTGCTCTGCAGTATCCTTGCAAATGCCTCAGTGCATAGATTCTTCTTGCAAAAGGTGATCTCGAGGCTCTTCTGGGTTTCACAAAACCAACCAAGCAAGGTCCTTGTGTAGAAACTCCTTTTAAACATCTTTGAAGTTCTATCATCATGACATGCATTTGCACAAAATGCATGCTTTTACTCTTCCATATCTTTGAATCTTTCCTGCTTAAAAGAAAGAAGTTTTTACTCCAGAAAAGAGCTTAAGATGAAGAAATTAACTTTTGGAGTATAGACAGATACTAGGTACCAGGCAGTGTGGACTGCGGTCTTAGTAGTCCAAGTTCATACCCCTGAAGAATTCTTTTTTGTAATACAAGCTGAGCTTAAATACATGAATATTCCATCTGAGAAAAAGTAAATTTTTGTTTTCCTTTAGAGCAAAAGATGCTATGACTCCCTCAAAGCTTATATGGGCAGTAGCAAAAAATTCTTTCTCTTCCATGCACACTAGCTAACAGAACACAATTCTGGTAAATTTACGTGGGTTGTGTTCTTCATTTGCAGTTTCTACAACAAATTGCAATCTATTGGCCTTACCCTCCCAAAAAACAGAGAAAAGACTGTTCCATCATTGCTTCTAAAAACTCCTTAGAATGTATTTTCTGTATTTGACTTGAGCTGTTAAGGGCACAACTACGGCTATTTAGAACTTCCACTGCTCCTGGACACCATCACTAAGTCCTTTCTCTGTGTCACTCACATTCTCTCTCATAAAAGATGACCTTCAGCATGTATTGTATGCTTATTTTATTTTAGCAGCTGCAATGCCTGGGCCACCAGGTCCTCCTGGAGAGCCAGGGTCACCTGCCACCAGGAATCTGGTAAGAGAGCAAAATAAGGAAGTTTGCTGTAGAAAATTTTCTTCAAAACTTCTGGTGGTCACTGGTAGCACTGAAGGAGGAGTGAAAGTTCCATCCTATGTTTTTATTTATTAGAATGTTTTATAAACCACATAATTTTAAGATGCAAACTGTAGATTTCCCTAGTAATTCTAAAAATCATTATGCCAGAAAATACATGTAAATTTGTTTATTTTTCTTATATTATGAAATTAATCAAAATTGGATCTAAGATATCCATGAAGAAAAAAAGCTAAGGCAGAAGTGTCAGTAGTTTCTAAATTAATAAGTCATAGTTTCTGTAAAAAGAACAAAATTCTCATATAACTTAGGAGAGAAAAAAAATGTTTAAGGACTGGTGCCCCAAGACAGAAGACTGTAGTTGCAGGCTGGGAGCTGCTGTCTCAGACAGAAGGTCTGAGCTTACTTAGGTCAAAACTAAGATTAATAAAAACATATACAAATCTATAGTAGAGTCTTCATTATTTATAAAGCAGTCATATGCCTTCTGACAATGAAGTAATGAGGAAAAAAAAAGTGAAAGAAATTGCATTTTCCTGAAATTTCCCAGTTTTAAACTACTGCAGTTCTTTTCTGAATTCTGCCATTTTGACCCAGGATGCTAAATTGTAGGAGTGCAACAATCTTCACTCTACAAAATTTGTACAAAACTTCTGTCGTTCTACTACAATCCACAGAATGATGATGCTAGTATGCCAAAGTAGCAAGACATTTGTATTACTTTATGGACTAAATTACATAAAACTGACTTTATGAGCATCTCCTGCAGAAGAAGCCTTGACATTTATATATACAAATGAGATTATTTAACTTGCAGAGTGTTTTGTGTATCTGATGAAGTATGTTTCATTTTCCTATTTGACAGGTTACGACATTCCAAAACATTGAGGGTATGTTGGAAAAAGTTCATTATGTAGCAGAAGGTACACTAATCTATCTGAGGGAAACCAGTGAGGTTTTTATCCGTGTTCAGAAAGGATGGAGAAAATTGCAGGTACTATTGCATTACACCCTAATCTTTTCCAACTCCCTTGCTCACAATGAAGGTGAGGGAGATATTTTTACAGAGGGAGAGAAGTGTGGATGCAAAGACTCCTTTTTTTGAATTTAGAAGCTCCTGGTGATATGCTTTTGTTCTACTCTCCTTTCTGTTTTTTTCAGCTTGGTGAGCTAATTCCTATCCCTGCTGACAGCCTTCCTCCTCCCGCCATATCAAGCCATGTAAGTACAAAATACTGGACCATGAAAAACTGAGTCTAGATGTATGATACTCTTGACAGAAGTTGTATGCAGAATGTGATTTTCCACCAAGACTTGCCAGTTCAAAATAAGCATCCTACCACTACATATGCTTGCAGATTGATTTGCTTGGACAGTCATCTGTTTCCAGTATCTTCTGAGATTCCAAACACTAAAGAGACAAAGCAACATTTACAAAAAGTAGAATAAAGTAAGCTGCCCACAAAAAAATCCCCCCCCTCAAAAAAAAAAAGCAACAAAAACCCCCAAAATAAAACAAAAGAAACAAACAACAACAAAAAAAAGAAAATAAAAGAAAAACCAAACAAAAACCCACAAACCCACAGAATTCTGTTTCATAAGCCTGGAATGAGTCATATCAAGCCCTGATCCCCTTCAAGGAAGGTCAGAAAAGGGTTTCTAAAAAAATAGATTTTCTTTGAAAGGTTATAGTCCTGTATTCAGTGTACCATAATCATCACCTGAACATAGCTTAACCTGCAGTGTGCAGAGGGTGTTCTTTAAAGCCTCGATTATTAGTTTGGGCCTGACCCCATTCTGCAAGTTATTGTACCAATTTGCATGTGAACATGCTGTCTGTCCCAAAAAACTGTGGGAGGATGAAAGCCAAGAAATGACAGAGGGAGTAGAGAAGGGTGTTTTGATGACAAGTTAGTTGATCTGCTGAGAAAATGAAAGGGCAAGAGAGTGCTAAGAAAGAGCAGTAAGAAGGAAGATGGCCAGAAACAAATAAAAAATGTTAAAGTAGGTCAGGGAGAAGTTCATCAGCACACTGGAAAATGTCTAGACCTCAAGTTATAAGACATTTTCTGCAGCCTCCAGTTGACACCACCTGAGTGTCCCATCTGCTCCATCTGGTAGCTTGTTACTCATACTTGCCATAACTAGAGAAGAAAACTTTGCTGTTCCTGAAACAATTAACAGGGTTGAGAAGTATTTCCACCCATTACATTTTCTGTTTTCACATCCTCCTTACCCTTTCAGTTTTGATTTTCCTCAACTGCTCTTCTGCTCCTACCAAGAGCAGACTGCTTTCATGCAAAACTCCAGGTGTGATTAAATTTTTATTTAAAAAATTACTGAGTATGTAGAATTCTGATATTTAACTTTTTTTTTTTCTTGTGTTCAAATAACAGGGAATTCAGTCTATTCCAGCACTGAGACCAATATCAAATATGAAGAATGGAAAACCAGCCGTAAGTATGAGATAGGTATTGCAGCTGCAGAGCCATGCTTTGTAATGTGACAGTTTGCATCTTTAGGGATATTTGTGATATTTGCTCTTCAAACTCAGAGATTTTACTTCAGAAATTTACAAATATACTTATTTAATTTACTCAGACATCTCAAACTCAATTTCAAATTGTTCCCTCCAGATCTACTTTCATCATCCCAGCCCCTTTCCCATCTCAAACAGAAAAAAATCCTGAGTTAGGAATACCTCTTCACTTAGTGATTGTACCTGGATTACAGAGTAACATCAAAACTAACAATAGTGCTTCAAATTATTAAAATATTTGTTAAAATATTTTCAGTCTTGTAAGTGCTGTTTGGCCTAAATGGACACTTTAGAACTTAAGCCTCTATTTAAAAGACTTTAAAATATTTAGAGAAAGAAAGCAAGGTAACTGACATACCTAAAAATGAAACAGGAAAAAAAAAAAAAAAAGGAAGAATGTGGATTAGTTCTTGCATCTGTGCTGCTTGAATTAAGCATGCTACTTCTTCTTTTTTAATGGTGCCTAGTCACTTCTTGCTACTTTTTTCCAAGTTTGCAGGATTTGTGATTTTGTGAGTGTGAAAAGTCCAAGATTTCACAAATATTATTCCAAATATTAGCTGCTTCTAAATGATTTTTATTTCTAGGGGTATATAATCTTCATGGTTCCCTTAACATAGAAAGATAAATTGGTATTTCTGCTAAGGGTCTCATGGCTCTGAGAAATGTAATGTTATGGCAACAAATAACTTTCATACCTGTTATGAAGGGTATGTGTTCTGTGCTGGCAGGAGCACTGTTCTGTTTCCAAGATGTATCCTCCCTGTGTCATAAACTTTTTTTAAATGGCGCCCTTTCTTCTTTTTTTCTTCCAGTTGCATCTGGTGGCTTTGAACTTCCCATTGTCTGGTGACATGCGAGCAGATTTTCAGTGTTTTCAGCAGGCCCAGCTTGCTGGTTTGACATCCACCTACAGAGCCTTCCTCTCATCGCACTTGCAAGATCTGGCCACAGTTGTCAGAAAAACAGACCGACACAATTTGCCAGTAGTCAATCTTCAGGTAAAAATGGGTACTTAGTGCTTGGTTTTTTTGGATAGGCTGTAGTTTCCCCAAAAATCTTGGAAAATAGCAAAAACACTAAGTTTCAGCCCAAACTGCATTTTATAAAGAAGCAGCTTTGCTTCATATTTCACAGCCAGATTCAAGAAACAAAGAAGTAGTGATGAAGTTACTATGTTCTACCTTTTAGTGTGATCATAGGATAAAATGCCTATTTTTCTCATTTTGAAGAAAAATGCAAATTCTGTGCTTAGGAGTGATATTGGATATACCCCAATGGAACAGAGAGGAGAGTCTAGAGCATGAGTCATTTTGTGGTCTCATATAAACAGACACACTCTAAAACTGAGGAAAACAAACCATGTCTTTGTAGCATTGGCTGGCTCCCAGGACAGGCGGCCAAAGAAGCCTACAGGAAAAACACATGATGCTTGAAACATGTTGAATGGATGCTACTCTAAAGTGCAAACACAGAGCCTTGAGAGAAATTTGTGAAGACAATATTGTTTCAACCTTGACTGGAAAAACTCAAAAGCAGTTTGAGAGGAAGCCAAATGCAAAAGTTTTGCCCTGAATGTTTGCAACACTTTTCACAAAACTGTGACCTTAACAGAAGCTCCAGTACAATTTATGTCTATATTTTCTCTACAGCTACAGTAGTTATAAGCAATTTTTCAAACAATGCCTTAGGAGGAAAAAGACAGGGGATGATCAAGCTGAATTTTTGGAGTGACAACAGAACAGAAAGATAATTTTGAGGCAAAAGCATGGACCAGACAGCTACTTGCATAGAGTTGACAGACAAGTTTGTTCAGGAACATTATGCAGAAACTGGTGTGAAAGATGAAATCACAAGTGTCCTTCAATGCAGATAAAATTTTACAGATAAGTCTATGAAGGTAGACTTGGAATTTGGTGTAATTTAGGGATTTGTTTGTTTGTAAAAGTGGCTTTGCAATTTAACAGGGAGAAACCCTTTTCAGTAACTGGGAATCTATATTTGATGGAAATGGTGGACAATTCAACATTCATGTTCCAATATACTCCTTTGATGGCAGGAATGTCATGACTGATTCATCTTGGTGAGTTGACATTACCATTTTTATGTTATATGTAAGGGTTTTTTTTCTACTTTTACCAAATAGTAAAAGAAACAGTAGCAGTATCTTGGGCTACTAGACATGTGATAAAAATTTCTCACTTTCTTTATGCCATTTTCCCTTTTCTGCTAGTCTAGAAATGGCATATCAGATTGTGTTCTCCTTTCTTTCTCTCCTTTCTGTCTTCATCTTTACCTAACTACTCTTTGCTTCAAGCACAAGGAATGCAGATCACCACACAATACAAATGTGCAGTTGAATAAAGCAAAAGAGACTTTTCCAGTAAATAACTTTTTAGCATTACTTTTCAGGCCTCAAAAAATAATATGGCATGGTTCAACTGCAAATGGGATTCGACTGGTTAGCAACTACTGTGAAGCCTGGCACACATCTGATATGGGAGCTATGGGACAAGCATCGCCTCTGAACACAGGGAAGCTTCTTGACCAGAAAGTATATAGCTGTAATAATCAATTTATTGTTCTCTGTATTGAAAACAGTTTTGTATCTGATCCTCAAGGAAAATAATCCACCTGCTGCACATAGGAATATTCCATTTGATGACAGAAAAAGCTGACACTGAAATTTCATTTGTAATTATGTAAATATTTTAATTTTTGTAATTGCACATTTCAGAAAAGAAATAGACAAAGAAAACATACCTCAACACAAACCACATTCCAGTTAGGTGGAACATCCAGTGCACATGACTGGCTTAAAGCCTTTACTTCCCCTTGAACCCCATGCGCTTTGAAACTTGCCAGCAGTTAACTCATGTTCTGCCTGAGCTGGAGGTCACCTAAGGGCACGAGCCAAGTGTGGTGAGGAAGATCCAGTAGCCTGCCTCGTAAGCAGTGTGGCTTAGCAAGGCTGCTGCTTCACAGCTGAGAAACTGCATGCTCCATGCTGTCCTTTTCACTTGTGTAGATTTTGGATACCCAAGGCATCGTTCATATATACTCATATATACAGTGAATACTGGGAGGCTGTTTTACCTTATAAAGCTCACATTTGCAAAACAAAGCTTTAAGACCAAATGTACTCACCTCCCTGAGTTTTGGTAGAAACCAAGTTACCTGACTCCTGTAGGCTTGTATGGATCTCAGCCTGGTGCTTACACAGAAATATTGCAGCTCCCACATCTTATTTCAGCTTTTCTCTTTGCAGATTCTAGATATAAAACTTTATTCAGGAGGAGTAAATTTCATATTGACAAAATCTGGTCTTTATTTTGGTGCTATTGTTACCAGGAAACCTGAAAGCAATGTAATAGAAAACATCCTGTTTAACTGGTAGAACTGAACAAAACAAATGCAGACGAATGAACCATCTGACCTTTATTTATTTCATTACATATTAGAGGACATAATTTCCTTTTGTGTCAGACTGATGAATGAAATATATCTCTCATGGTTTCTTTAAAATAGGTTCTACACATTGTTATCTCACTAAGTTATATGTAAAGTGATTTTCCTTTTTGTGAATTTATCCTTCTGGTATTCACTTAATTAAAGAATTGTTAATATGAAATAACTGAAACAATTATAGGAATGATCAGGAAATGGTCACTAACAGTATCACCATAATATCTGAAGTCTTTTCCTGATATATTTGTCTACTGCATAGTTTAAACAACATATTTACTTATGTTTTATCAGGCAGTGACTATGGAGGTCAAACTCCACATTATAATTTTTTTTAAGATTTTAACAAGAATCCGTGTTGGAAATACATGTTCATTTGCTGACAAATAGGGTACTAAATAACTAGACAGTTATAAATTACACTTACAATACTAAAATGATATAATCATGCAACTAAATATTTTAAAATGCAGCTTTATTTTTCCAATTGATTATAAAAACTTATTTCCCAGGGTCTGCTGAATGATAGCTTCATCTTTTTGTGGAAAAGCAAAAAATGTAAATTACTCCACTATTACAACATGGTAATAAGGCAAAAGCCATTTGTATTACATTTAAAATATATGCATAACAATTCACTATACTCATTTATAGTCACCTTTCCTAAAATACCGAGCCATTCTTGTACCAAATTCCTCCAGTTCACAGAGCTGGAAGAGTTGTTTATGTACAGAAGAGTTTTGCTCTGAGTCACAGAAAGATCAAGGGGGGAAAATAAAGTGCTTTTACCTGCTTCAAGCAGGAGCCATGTACTTTTAATCCTTTACAGGCCACTGGGGTCTCTGCTTGCAGCCACTCATCCACATCAGTCCCCTCTCTTCCGCTCCTGAGCTTGAGCAGCACTCGAGAAGCTGGCTGTCCCTTTGCCTGGAATTGCAGTGACAAGAGGTAGCAGAAGCATGGGATCACACAGAAGAACTCTGTGAAGAGGGACAAGAGAAAACTAATAAAAACATACAGGTTTTAGAAGATACTGAGCTAAAGTTGGGTCCAGCAAAATGCATCCAGAGATCTTTGTGCCAATCCTTCCACAGAGCTAACCCATCCCTCTATCCTGAAAAGAATTTAGCAGGGAAATGAAACGGTTAAGTGCCATCAATAATTTGCTAAAAAACTCTCCATGTTTGCTTCCCACTTCTAAGATTAATCTGCAGGCTACAGCAATTTATTACACACCATTTAACTGAATACAAAGCATGAGCTGTGCACCACCTGGGCTGTTGTGGTGCTGAATTCACAGGTTTGCTCACATGCCAAAAAGATACCTTTACCAGAGAATGGCATGGGAGGCCTGTTAGAAAGATGATGTTTCCTTTGGGGAAAACAACAACAACCCATACTTTTTTTCAAAACCAGTGATGTTTTTTTAGATTCCCTAGTATAACTGAAAAGAAAAAATAATATTCATTCAGGATATGACAGAGAGAAAAATTAGCCTGGTACTTAAGAATAAATTAGCTTGCTCTATCAAGGGAGAGTACTTTTTTCAGCACAGGTCCAATACGAAGGTCAGCTGCACTTGATGAGGAATGTCTGCTAATTCAGGTAAGAAACTGCATATTAGGCAAAGTAATCACCAAGAGAGCACTAGAGAAAGAATTGAAAACAGTAACTGTACAAAAAATCAATGTAGCAGTCCAAATTGTACTGAATTGTGAATAGCCCCATATCCTGATCTGGCACACTAGTTCTGTTAGCAGTAGGTAATCAACAGATCTTTTGACCTTCTCAGTTAAGAGATCTTTTCTCTGTGCAATCACAAACCATGTCATGTTTCCATCTCTCAGTAGTGTGCTGCTCAGCCCAGAAGAACTGCAGCGAGAGGAGCAGTTTCTCCTCCCATTGCTGTTATAATCTAGCCAAACCTGTGAGTTTCTGCAGAGCAGCATATACATCTCAAGTGACTGACAATTAACACAACTTGTTTTGGTGTAACCAAAGATTGCCAGCCTTGCTTCTGAGCTGTGCAGTGAAAGAAGAATGAGCGACTTGCAGTACATCCTGCCTGGAAGATTCCATAGTTCCTCTTCTTTGACATTGAGATTTAGGTATTACTTCTGCATTAATACTTGCAAGTCTTGTTTTCACTCCAGTACTGTCTTGGAGAAGAGAACAGTAGCTGCCCCCTTCTAGATGAAGATCTACTTAATTACTTTGATGCTTTAACCTGAACCTGGCCTCTCTTTTTTAACCAGTCAGAGGGCTGCTATTTGCTACATCTTAAAAGGCCTATTCTGCACCTTCATGAAATTTCCACTGTTACCAGCTAATCTAAAATTTTTCCCATCATATTCCCTTCCACTGTATCCATATTAGAAAAAAAAAAAAAACACAAAAACAAAACACCATAACTCCACCCTGTTCTACTCCTAATGTTCCTAATTAAAGGCTCTATGTACACACAGCCTAACCTGGAGTTGCACCCAGAGTGGATGTCTCAGCTCCATCAGTAGTAGACTTCGCATAGGGGAGAGGGAACACAAAGTCAGAACATCTTTTCATCCTGTGTAGGCAAGAGAGTAATGAAATTACAGACAGCACATGTCACTGTTGAGGCAGGATGGGAATGAGAAGACTCTGACTCAGAAGGCTGCTGTGAGTAAAAACTCCCCTTTATTCAAAATACACCACACTTTTATACAGAGCTCCACAAGGATCAAATCCATTGGTTCTGAAGTGAAAACAATCCACACCATTGGTTCTGAGTGCTTGACACACAGTGATAGAACTTAACTATAAACAATGTGAAAAACAAGAGAGATAAAGAATTATTTACATTCTTTCCCAGCTCTTTCCAAGGCTTTTGCCTGGCAGGAAACTCTCAGTTTCTTTCTTTGATTGAATCTGAGACCTACATTTCCCCCTTTTTGTTTAAAGAAGGAGGCAGTGTTTGTCAGAGCACCTTGCAAAGAAGAGGGCAAACACAACTCCAAGGTTCACTAGTTGATAATTCAAAACCTCATTGGATGTTGGCTCAGATCAGTCAAAGAGCTTCCAAACTTATAATTTTCAAGGAATAAGTTATCAACTGTAAGATAGTAACAACTCATTGTCAGACTGTCAAAGGACTGGTAGTCCAACTTGTCAAAACCCATTTCCCAGTGTGAGTATGACCTGACAGAAAAGAAGGTATTTACAACATGTGCACATACCCAAATTAGCCAAATTTGAATTTGACAAGATGAGTAACATCTCTTTACCACAGCTGCGAAGCCTTTAGGCCTCTGGGATTTGTCCCAGCCAGTAAGGTGCAGCAGGTTTGCCTTGATTGGCATTCATCAGAATTACTTTTGCAAGGTGTGTGCACTTAATAGAAGACTCATGCAAGGCTTTGCCTATGCGATCATGTCCTCAATGGACAGCTTGAGTGATGAAATTGAATTCAGATCCAAATTACATCCTCAAGGCTTTCAAAACAATTGAGTGAAATTGACCCAATTCAGAAAGGACCAAATTCACAACACTTGAGAAACCTCTGAAATGTCATGGCCACAGCCCTTAATTCAATCACTTGGGCTGAGGTTGATTCGTGGCTTCCCAATATTTTGAGCTGTTAGTGAAACATAGTGAAAACACAGCTCTTTCCACCATTTTTTCCTTTTTTTTTTTTTTTTTTTTTTTTTTTTTTTTTTTTTTTTTTTTTGAAGAGCCAGCGGCAGAGGTTAAGACCCAGCAATGCCAGGCAAGGTGGAGGAGCCAAGACTCTCTGCTGAGACAAGAGTCACCCCGCTTGGCCCCCAGCTTCTCTTTGGTATCTCCTGGGACCCCTTAATCTGGGGTTCCTGGGACACTTCAAGACCACTAATAAATGAGCGACCTCCCTCAAACTCATACATCAGTGCATGCAACCAACAGGCTGCGAGAAACCCAGCAATTCCTCTGAGCTTCTGCTCTTCCCCCACCCCGCTCAGCCATGGTTTCTTCCACAGCTCCTCGGCATCCCGCTCTGCAAACCACAAGAGCAGGATCCACAGGGTGCAAGAAGGGGCTGTTCCCCGGGGAATATAGAATTTCACCTGGGCTCTGAGACTCCCTGCACCACCCATGCCCGCCCAGTGCAAGGGACTGCTCTCCTGTCCCCGCACAGTTCCCTGATCTGCAACCTCACCCCCCTCATTCCCAGCTCTGGGACCAGCAGCAGTGGTGCTGCTGCTGGCCAAGCTGGTATCCCGCCCCGCCGGCTCTCCCTCGGAGGGGCAGAGCTCGGTACAGTTTGGAGGGGACAAAGGGCTGGACTCATTGTTCAACACAGGGCTCTCATCCACTGGATCGCAGGGTAGAGCTGCTCCTGATGAGCCAGCTTCAGGGGGCGCAGCGGCGGGAGCCACTGCACCCTGTGGACACCCCTCTCCCGCATCTCATGGGGTGGGTGATGCGGCCGCATCTCCCAGAGGACCCGGTGGCGGCAGTGGCCACGGCTCTCCCACCAATCCTGAGGTCAGTGGTGGCAGCGGCTCTTGCAGCTGGAACGCAGCAGGCAGCGCCACAGTTGCGGCGGTTCCTCCCGGGAGTGATGCCGATGGTTCCGGGGTGGGTGGAGTTGAGGCTGCCGCTGCTGCCGGAGTAGCAGTAAGCGTGACGGTGAAGTCCGCTGTCAGCAGGGGTGGTGCCACGGCAGGCGTGGCGTAGAAGGCAGGCACCACCTCCGGCGTGGAACTCCATCCCACAGTGGGCAGGGCGGAGAAGAACACAGGTGTCCTGCTCAAAACATGCTGTTAAACAGCAGATGCTGGCACCGTAAATGAAATCAAATCAACCAGTCTGCATGACATGCAGAGGGGCGGACTGGGAGGCAAAGGCTGTCCTGCTGGCACAATTGGAATTCCTGCGGGCAGTGGTGAGTGTGCCAGGGGATGGACCAAAGGCTGCAGTGGTATCTGTGCAGGCT